AACCGAACCACGCCTGACCCAAATCGAAAGTCGTACAGTTCGGGGCTGTCTGCTTCTTCAAGCACCAGCTATAACTCAGTGCGACCTTCTGCGGGCTCTCTTCAAAACCGGCTGTCCCAAAATCTATCTTCCTCTCGACTTCCGACTCCCAAGCCACGCACAGAAGGAAATCCCAACGGGGAAGAGGTACCACCGGTTCCAGCGATCCCTAAGGCCTACGAGTCGCCCAAAAGTGAAATGGATGCACCTGTCTTCCCCACGCCTAGGAAATCAAGTATTCCTGTGGATTTGAACATTTTGAAAGATTCAGACTCCGAAGTGCATTCCATAGCCCAAGTCGACAAGGTTGACCCTGTAGAAGCGAAAACCCCTGATTCACGAACACGAACTACTAATATTGTGGGAGGACGAAAGGGTTTGCAGCCCTTGAAATTGCCCCCGCTGAACTTATTGCCTCTGGGCACACCCATGGCAGCCAAAATCGAGGCACTCAAGGACAGGGACGAGGAGCACAGAGCTCACACCCCCTCCAAACAAGTGATTTCAAAGACGCCCAGTACTCCGATGACAGCATCCAAGGCGAATTTCTGGTACCGTGATGAAGACGACCAACTGCCCCTCACTCAGGCACGAAGCAGCACCTCTCACTTTGCCGTCAGCTCAACCGCGTTTCGAGCTTCTAGCAGTACCAGCGCGTTTGAGTCATTTGACACGCCAAGCGCAGCTCGGAACATTTCTCCTTATGCCTCATACACGCTGCCTAAGAGCGGTGCTGAGCTCAACCATCTCCGCCAACAGATCAGCGCCGACTACTCGAATCGAACGCAAGCACACAAGTTGAATGGTCCACGACCTCAAACTCAAACTGCCATTATCACTCCTGCCCCGGAACGGCTCAGCCAGATATCGACACCTTCGGAGCCTGAGAGTGTAACTGTCGCTGCGTCCAGCACCTCTCTTCGAGACCGGCTTAAGGTGGCACGGCTTCGCAGCAACTCGAAGCCCCACAAGCCAGAATTCGATGCTGATCCAGCCAAGTACAATGCTATGCCGCCGCCCAAACTTCCAGCCTCTGCAACATGGAGTAACCTTTCTTCTGTCAACTCGACGAGCCCTAATCCCAAGCCATCATATCTCACTCTTCGCCGCCAGTCTTCTATCTCAAATACCACAAATGCGACGACTCGGAAACCAAGTGTCAGCAGCGAGAAAAGTCTCGCCTTGGAGCCAACTCCTTCCAATGAGTCGGTTGAAAGCGACCGCTCTAGACGTGTGCAGAGCTCGTACATCTCTCCTGTTCATAAGATGATCAATCATGCTAGATCTAGTGTTGCCGCTGCCCCCCGGTCTACCGACAGCACTGTTGATCCAGATGTGATTATTGCAGATGAAGAGATGAAGCGACTTGGGGCCAAACGCAAAGACTTTGAAAAGGCGGCGCGGGTGCTAGACGACTTGCGGCGCAAGGCTGGACCAAAGGATCGTGTCAGTCCCGCCCAGGCCTTGAAGATGGCCGCGCTCAACATCTTTGAACGCGGTGAGATCATTGATTATCGCGATATTTACTTCTGCGGTACTCAGACCGCCAAGAAACATGTTGGAGATCTTCACTCCAGTGCAGCGAACTTCGGTTACGATGATGACCGTGGTGATTATAACATCGTCGTCGGCGACCATCTGGCTTACCGGTACGAAGTTGTTGATGTCCTGGGTAAAGGTAGTTTTGGCCAGGTTGTGCGATGCGTTGATCACAAGACTGGAGCTCTGGTTGCGATTAAAATCATCCGCAACAAGAAGCGATTCCACCAACAAGCCCTGATTGAGGTCAACCTCCTACAGAAACTGAAGGAATGGGATCCTCATGGGAAGCATAGCGTGGTCAACTTCACCCAAAGCTTCTATTTCCGTGGTCATCTATGTATCTCGACCGAACTCCTTGGCATGAATCTTTATGAATTCATCAAGGCCCATGAATTCCGGGGCTTCTCGTTGAAGCTGATCCGTGTTTTCACCAAACAGATGCTGAGCAGTCTTGTGCTGTTGCACGCGAAGAAGGTCATTCACTGTGACTTGAAGCCTGAAAACATCCTTCTCGTTCACCCATTGAACTCTGAAATTCGAGTCATCGACTTTGGTTCGAGTTGCTTTGAGAATGAAAAGGTCTATACTTATATCCAAAGTCGCTTCTACCGTTCGCCCGAGGTCATCCTCGGAATGTCGTATGGCATGCCGATAGACATGTGGAGTTTAGGTTGCATTTTGGCTGAGCTCTTCACTGGCTATCCCATTTTCCCAGGCGAGAATGAGCAAGAACAGCTTGCTTGCATCATGGAGGTCTTTGGTCCTCCGGAAAAGCATCTCATTGAGAAGAGCTCACGCAAGAAGTTGTTCTTTGATTCCCTCGGCAAGCCGCGTTTGACAGTTTCATCCAAAGGCCGCCGACGTCGTCCAAGTTCCAAGGAGCTCCGACAGGCCTTGAAATGTGATGATGAAGCCTTCCTTGACTTCATCACTCGCTGCCTCCGCTGGGATCCTGCTCGTCGACTCTCGCCCCATGACGCATTGAAACACGAATTCCTCACTGGTGTCAAGGCGCCCCGGCCCAGGATGTATGCATCAAACTCGCCCCCCAAGCGAGGTGTCACGTCCGGGCCTCGTCCTCTCCCAGATCCTCCAGGCACAACTCTGAAGAGCGGGTTCATGCGTACCCGCGATGCTTCGGCCAATTCCCCGGTCAAGTCTAGCGGCAAGCGACACTCGACCGTGAATGGCATTCCGTCCAGCCCCGGCAAGCGAGGGTCCAGCAACTCTACTGTCGGGTCCGCGCTCCCCCGCGTTTCGGCGCGGAATATCAGCGGGAAGCCCGACCTCGCTACTGCGGCGGCTGCGACCAGCCTGGTGAGTTAGGCCAGCAACCTGAACCGGGGCCAGAGATGGGATGCTGACCAGCCGCTAGAGGAAATGATCTTGCACGTTTTTTTTTCTGAATGCGCTGTAATACTAATCCTTGTTTTTACGTTCTCATCCTTGCATCGGGTGGTTGTCATGTTAGCATTTTGTTCCTTGAGATGCATTCATGTTACACCCCCTTGTTCCTGCATTTGCATTGCGCCTCTGATGACCTGAGTGTTCGCTTATACCTTATGTTTTGCTCTTGCTTATGCATTTCCTTCGTTTTTGTTATACTTGATGAACCCCATTAGGGCCATGTGTGGTCCCTTGTACATTGTTACCTCTTATTGCATTTCTTAAGAGTTTATGTGTTGCTCATGGGTAGAGCGATTTAACGTTGTCAAGTGGCGTCTATGCTGAATTAATGACCATGTGATTTTTAGTTTTACAACTTCTATAAATAAGAGACTGAATAATAAAGACACGTTAAAGACACGATATAGAATGCACGTTGTTGTACTGGCATTATCCCCACTGGGCAATCGGGCTACTTGGCCTCATCGCCTTATCTTAGTTACTCCACTTCTACAACAACTTTGGCCTTTATGGGTAATTGATTCGCAATGAATGGCTTCGAATCTAAGGGCCTGGACGAAGATTCCTTCGGCGGCAAGCCTGGTCTGACTGCCCTGAAGACCTTCGACGCCTTTCGTGAGTACCCTCGAGATTCAAGCTAAACAAAAGCTAACCGACCTCCACCAGCCAAAACCAAAGCCTCCTACACAACCCCAACACGCAGCGGCGGCCAATGGACCGTCCTGATCCTCATAATATGCACGATCTTCAGCTGGTCCGAGTTAAAAACCTGGTGGCGCGGCACCGAAAACTACCACTTCAGCGTTGAAAAGGGCGTCTCACATGAGCTCCAGCTCAACCTCGACATAGTCGTGCACATGCCCTGCGACCAGCTCCGCGTCAACATCCAAGACGCAGCCGGCGACCGCATCCTAGCTGGCGAGCTCCTCAAACGCGACGACACAAACTGGCTCCTGTGGATGCAAAAGCGCAACACCGAGACCAACGCCGGCGCCCACGAATACCAGACCCTCTCCCACGAAGAATCAGACCGTCTCGCCGAGCAAGAAGCCGACGCCCATGTCGGCCACGTCCTCGGCGAAGTGCGCCATAACCCGCGCCGCAAGTTCGCCAAGGGCCCGCGTATGCGCCGCGGTGTCCTCCCGGACTCTTGTCGCATCTACGGCAGCCTCGAGGGAAACAAGGTGCAGGGCGACTTCCATATCACGGCTCGTGGACATGGGTATCGCGAGAACGCGCCGCATCTAGATCACTCGTGTATGTGTTTTACTTTGTCACAACCCATCTACAGCATCGCTAACAGCTATCAGCATTCAACTTCTCCCACATGATCACCGAGCTCTCCTTCGGCCCGCATTACCCGACCCTGCAGAATCCCCTCGATAAGACCATCGCCGAGAGCGAGGAGCACTACTACAAGTTCCAGTACTTCCTCTCGATCGTGCCGACGCTGTACAGTCGCGGGAAGGGCGCGCTGGACGCGTACACGCACTCGCCGCAGACGGCGGCCGCGCGGCACGGACGCAACACGGTTTTCACGAACCAGTACGCCGCGACGAGTCAGTCTACCGTGCTCCCTGAGTCGCCGATGGTTGTGCCGGGGATCTTCTTCAAGTATAGCATTGAGCCGATCCTGTTGCTGGTCAGCGAGGAGAGGGCCGGGTTCTTGTCGCTGGTGGTGAGGGTTATTAACACCATTTCTGGTGTGCTGGTTACTGGTGGCTGGCTTTATCAGATTTCTAGTTGGGCTAGGGAGGTCTGGGGTCGGAGGAAGAATAGGTCGTCGGAGGGGTATTTGACGGGCAAGTCTTCTATGGATTGAGGTTATTTTGGTTGTTTCACTTCGAATGTTTTCCTTGTCTTATTATATCGTGTTCCATCATATATCCTACGTCAATTGCATCAGGAGTTCACTCTTTGCATCGAAGTTCATTGGTCAACTCGGAAGTCGAGTTCGACCTGGTATATAAGTAGTAATTGATCGTACATCCCGCATACATGATGCATGCAAACTAAACCTCAAATATCTCCCCCATGCCTACGCCAGCACCCTCTGCACCGGCACGGCTATCGACCAGATCCAGACGCCAGCCGTTCCAGTCACGCAGCTTGCTCTTGATATCGCGCATCCATTCAACACGCTTCCGGGCTTCCTCCTCGGCCAGCGCACGCGCGAATGCATCTTCATCGAACTCGTCATCGAGGTTTTCTTCGGAAACAAGCTCGAGACTACCACGGGTACCAGGGGGATGAGGGGATGAAGTTTGAGCGCGGTTTCCACCAACTCCCGTAAAGGCAGCAAAGCCGCTAGAAAGTACTGTGGAGAAGGACGAGTGCTGCTGCTGCTGGGCCATGCTGCGGCGACGCGCATGGTCGGGTCGTCCACCGACGAGATCGACGTCGTCGAATGCATTCGCTGCGTCACCGGAGACAGCGCTAGGTCCATCATCCGGGTAGTACTCCATCTCCTGGCGCTTCTCTTGCCAGACGCCGCGGCGCAGATCGAAGACCTCGCCTTCCAGCTCGCGGATTCGCCGCTCAAGACGCTGGCGTTCTTCGTCCTCGAGCTCGTCCAGGGCTTCATCGTCTGCGCCTCCACTGGTCTGGCGAGTTCGAATCCGATCACTCTCTTCGCGTAGACGCAGGTTCTCGTTTTCGATGCTAGCGATCTTTTTCCGCATGACAGCGATTTCTTTGTCGGATTTCTCGCTCTCGCGTAGCCGTGTTTGGTGCCGGGCTTCGGTTTCTTTGTGAAGGTTGCCTATTGCCTGGAGTTTCTTGTCGAGCGTCTCGATTTTCTTTTCAGATTCGCTCTTTTCGTTCTTATACTCCTCAATCTCACGCTGGAGGTTCTTGACCAGAGTTTCGGTGGATGTCTTGTCAACGCCTTCCTTGACTGCTTTCTCGGAGGCCCGCGTCAATGCCTGCTTGGTGTCTGCCAGTTCACGCTGGGATTGATCTAGTGCTGATTGTGTCTTTGAAACTTTCTCCTCTAGCGCTGCGACCTGAGACTCATGTGCATCGTTAGAGGACGTTTGGGAGGCGACCTGGGCGCGGAGATTTGATATCTCCAACTCCATAGATTCAATAGTGGCTGACTTGGACTCGAGCTGAAGAACAAGGTCGGCTGGCGGTGACTCGGTTGTAGTTGTGTTTCGATGTGACCGGGTCTGGAGTTGTGAGTTCTGTCGCTGAAGAGAAGCAATCTCCTCCTTCTATTTCGCAGGTTAGCAAATATGGCTACCACGGAAAATACGATATCATACCAACGACTCAATGCTTGCAACCTTCTCCTCTGCGTTTTTCAATTGTTCCCTCAACCCGACGGAATCAACACTCGCATCCCGCAGATCCTCCACTTGCTCCTCAGTCTTGCGCCAGCGCAGAGTTGCTTCCGAGAGATCCTTCTCCAGGCGTTTATTTTCCTTCTCAAGCTCCTCAATCTTAGTAGACTGTTTGCGGAACACTTCGTGAACCGACTCCCCGTCCCCGGTTAGAGGCGGTAATGATTGTGAAGGGGACTTGAGCGTAGCAGAAGATGGAGAGGGGGAGACGCTTCCATGTGAGACGGAGGTCTTGCGGAATGAAGACGAGCGCATCTTAGACTGGATTGACAGTGAGGCATGTCGGCCGTGGTTGCCGCGCGGTGTATCGAGCCGGACTGGCAGCGGCTCGGCGTCTGGACCAGGAGATGTGGGCGCTGGAGGCATCGGTTCAGTAGGAGACTCGATGTTTGTATCAACGGCAAGTTGCGACTTTGGTTCTTCTAATTCCTCTGCTTGTTCGGAGGCCGTGGCCTCGGGTTGCGCGACCGGCTCATCTTTCTCCTCCGCGGGGGTGTCTGCCTGCGGTGTTTCTGGGCTCGGGGCATCTTCAGCAGGTTCTGTCTCTGCGGAGACCTCTGCGTCCTTGGGTGTGTCGGCTCCGGTGGTAGTCTTCTTGGCCTTCTTTTTCTTTTGGAGCTGGGCAACCTAGAGAACAACAGTCAAGTTAGCGACCAAAACAACGCCATCTGTCACTCGCGGGGAATTACCCTTTTCTTGGCTGCGGCCAGCTTCTCGGCTTTGATGCGCTCCGCGTCGTCGGCCATGATGAATCTTATGAATTGTATGAGTTTATTCAAATGGAAGTTGATGAGTGGAAGGGAGAGAATGGACAGCTCTCCAATGCACGGACCACGTGTCTGATCTATATGCCCAAATGAGACGTGCAGGTACGAACTAGAGGTCGATGCGCTAGATGATTACATAGAGCCACTCTACTATTATTTCTGACTGGACATTAGAAGGTGAGATCAAAAATACAAGCCTACATAGCAATATCTAACAAATCCTACTTCCCCAGCTCCATACTAACCGGCAGGTATATATATATATAGAGACTCAGAGCGAGTGAGTGATTTTCTGGTTTTTCTAGGTTGGGTTATTTCAGACAATTATCCACGAGGAGTTGGTAAGGGTATTGATCAGAGATTCAGAGTCAATACAGCTTGTTTACTTGACAAGAACGATGTGATAGGGAAAACGGCCCCAGAGAGTTGAAGCGTGGAAGAGCCATTTAATGCCTTTTGCCATGCGTTATGGAGGAACTCTGTCACCGGAGGACCGTCATGTCATCTCTTGAGGTTGATCGAGATATGGTGTGGAATTACGTATGTCCTGGTCGTGGTGGTCAACAAACCTAACAACGGGCCTCCTCCCGTATTTCCATTGGGCGTTGCAATTAATCCACCTGTCGCCAGCGAAGCGAGGAGGGGTCTGGACGCCCTTAGTCTTGCTCCTTTGGAACAACTGACCCGAGAAGAGTCTGTAGGGTTGACATAGGATGGTGTGATCCCTGGGCTTCGGTGCTGGTCATGGCATATGGATGACTGTTTACTGTCAGTGACAGCTTCCAAACGAATATCAGGAGTCAAAAGCAACAAAAAGGCTTACTTCCTAACATTGATAAATCTGCATAAGACAGCACAAATCCAAAAATAGACATAGTGATATTAGAGAGTAAGTCACAGAAAGTTGAGGGGCAGTATGTTAATACCCTCTCGTGAACAAGAAACCATGCAAGGAATCGCGCCATTCAAACAAAGAAAGAAACATTTACCCAACACCGCCAGCTAGAAATATCATACCCGATCAACGGGGCCATAAGAAGATAAACAAGAAACGAACAAAAGCAAAAGCATAAAGCCAAGTCATTGATATATCTAGACCTCCATCGAGTCCGCAATTTCTTCACTCATCGCGCGGACTCCCCGACGGTTGGTTGGCATATTCTCCTCGTCGTCACTGATCACATAAGTGTCGTAGTCATCGGTCGTCCGAATCGTCTTCGGAGGGCGGTCCATCTCATCATCACTGTCGCTGGAGATAAGGTTCGATCTAGCGCGTTCTCCAAACCAAAACTTGGCACGCTTGCTAGAGCTGAGATCCGGTGTGAGGTATCCGTCGTCGTAGGTCCGCTTCCCGGTAGGCGTAGTCGCCATCTCGTCTGGGGTGTGGCTGAGTATAGGAATCGCGCGTAGGAAGATGTAACAAACGCGCTTGCGAATCGGGTTGAAGAAGAAGAAATGTAGACTCCAGATAGCTCCGTCATCGGCATCGGAAGGGTCCTCCTCCGGTGAATATGAGTAGATCGAACACTCCTTGAGCGACATGTGTTCATCTATCGTTTTCCACACCCGTGGGCCCCAGGCAGAAGATGATCCTGCTGTGTATGATCCAGAAAGCGTCGCAGGGGATGCCGGTGATAAGTTGATGTTCTCGCGCGGTCGCAGGTTGAGCAGCGTTGAGTCGACCGTGTTCATGACGCGTTTCAAATTCCGTTCGCGTCGGAAATCAGTGGGGCGTAGGACGTGTGAGAAGTCATAATCCGGGTGACTTGCGTTCAGAGTAGCGATCAGATAGGCAAAGGTCCGTCGACTCGAATGGTCGCTCAGGGGTCCGAACGGGCTGGAACGCGATAGATTGAGGGCCTCGGCGGCATCGTGTGCATTAGGAGGTGAAAGTGAAGCCGAAAAACGAAGGACCGATTCATATTGAGCCTCGAGCGACTGTTCGATATGGTTGTAGAGTTTCCGATCAGAGCGTGCCGCCTTGGTGGTGTAAATATCACAGCCGCCGACGATATGGCAGTCGGTCGTATCGAAATTTAGAGAGCTCGTCACGTCCTCGAAGTCTGGAAGTGGGAGGAACTATATCATGAGAGAGTGAGTAAACTGAGAGAAAGACACGTTGGGTTGCGACCGTGAGGCATACCTTCATCGTGAGGTTGAACCGGGGTGTGTATCCAGATAAGCCGATAAGGAGCTTGAAATGACCTGTCACAGTCTGCTGTTCGAAAAGAATGACTCAGGTCTCTCTTCTAAGGTCTGAGAGAGAGATAAGACGAGGGAAAGTGGTGTTACCGCAACGGGTGATTGAACCGAAGGTGGATATCCGATGATGTAGATGGGCGATAACGGCAAAGAGGGTTGGGATAAGGGGGACACGAACTACACTGGGCAGATCGCCAGTCTTATAGCAAGTCAACGCCAATGTCAAATGAGGAGTATACAAAGAGATGATGAAGCAAGAGGGGATGGGCCTATCCGGGGATGATCTGAGAGGGGAGGGATTCCGAAAACAGTCACGTGTGGGCAGGCGTGGCCCAGTAGGAACCCGCACTGACCTCACGAGCAGTCCAACCATGGAAAGGGCAACTTCATAGGCCAACAGGCCCATTCAGGCTAATTCACAGCCCAATCTCGTCCAAATTGCGTGTTATGTCTTCCGAAGCCTGGGGGAAACGAGTTGTATTGATTAGTATGGTGAATGTGAAAAACTCCTATGTACGCCCGCAAATAAAAAAGGAGCAAGAATCCTGCTTGCTGCGTTACATGATCTTGGTGACCACATCTTCCTCAACCTGGGGAATAATTAGCCCGGCTGAAACTTGGCCATGGCTGGACAAAGGGGGGGGGGGAGATAAAGAGCCCAAATATAGCCAGCAGCACCGTTCTTGGTTCTTTTCGTTGAAAGTGCCAAACAATACCCATGAATGGAAATAAAAAGACATCTTAACTCACCTCCATATCTTCCAAACTGTCCTGCTGGCTGATACAGCGAAGAACATTCTTCTTGCTGGTCTCCTGCATCTCCCCTGCAATCAATAACTCATCGAGGATAAAGTATGCTTTCTGGAAGTTGAAGATGATGTCCAGCTCGCAGACATTGCCGTAGTACTTGTCCATCTGCTCGACGTAGCGGTGCACCACCTCGAGGGTGATCAGCTCATTATCGGTCGAGGCACAGCCAGCGATGAAGAAGAGCGAAGCGTAGCGACGGTAAACGACTTTCGAGTCTAGTGATGGAGTCCATGTTAGTCCAATTCCAGCTTGTCGGCGATAGGGGGTAGGGGTCGGGTCGGGGGTAGCCACCTTTGTATTCCAGGAAATTGCACATCCGCGTCCGGCGGGACAGCACCAGCTGGGTTACATCTTTGATGATCTTGGCCTTTTCCTTGGGGGAGAGAGTGGTGAACCATTTGGCGAGGCGCTAGGGAAACGTTGTTAGTTGGGGCGGCTTCGGCCAGGTGTTAAGTAGTTGGGTCGGTGACGAGGCATACCACTTTGCCCTGTCGGGAGAGCAGAATCAGGTAGCTAATGGCGGGTCAGCGGTCGCAAATTGAAGCTGACTGAAGGACGGTCTCACTGGATAGGCATATTGGTGGCGTTGTGAAATGAAGGGATGGAGAAAAGTGTCGGGGCGGAAGCTCTGGAGAAATTCTTTGGGTGGAGCGGAGGGGAGTTTTGCCCCGCTAAGCCCTAGCTTAGCAATTTAAACGTGAAGATTCAATAGTTCGATTCAAGATGGATAGTTGTTTCTGCTAGAAGTCCTAATATGCTTTGTGCGTGTCTTGCGCGCGGACCTTGAATGAGTCAACCCTTGCCTGCCGGAGTTTCTGGAACCATCAGCTTAGCAAAGCTAGTATCAGAGCCTCATGTACGGATTTGGAGTAAAATAGAACTGCATAATATACGGTCGGGCTATTGTTATTTGTTTATATGTGTGCATGCTATGCGACCTATGTATGTTCGCAGGTGATCTATAAAAATTGTGGATGCAACATACGGAGAAGATGAGCTCAAACCATAACTATAAGGATGTCAGAGATCCATGACTTGGAGAATTAAGTAAATATTTACAACTAAATAACCAGAGATGTCAAACTATACGGACATACGGCACTGAAAGCCACGTCTAAGATCATAAAGTAAAATAAGAGTCAACGCCAGGTAAACCCTTAGACGATGAAAAACAAATAATTATTAATGAAATAAGTAGTAGCACATTAAGTATCAGAACATCCCTCTCATGATCGAGCAGAGACTAGAGAGGCAGCGTTTCCGTCGAATCGTTGCAGGCATGAGAGCATGAGCATGGAAGACATAAAACCAAGACCGAGAGCCCTAAGCTCGTCAACCACCTCAAACATATACCGATATCGCTCAACTCACGCCATTAAGCAGAACCAGAACCATACCTATAGCCATGATCCAGTATCAATTACCAGGTAGATAGATTACCGCGACAAGGCGAGCGATAGCAACTAAGCCTCAGGCCGAGTGTAAACCACGCCCGCTTTCCATGACAAACGACCCATTTAAACCTGGGTCATGTTGGGGCGGGCACCGCCGCGACGGCTAGTACGGCGCGAGGGACCAGCAGAGGAACGGGCCATGAAGGCGGAGACAATGACGGAGGCCATGTAGCCGGCCCAGGCGAACCAGAGGAAAGCAACGGAGGCCTGGGCTTCACGGCAACGCTTGGTCATGTTGTGTGAGCCATTGGTGATCTCATTGTTGATAAGGTACTCCTAGAGGGAGTTAGCGTTCGCTCTCATGTCTTATATTTGCAATCCATTCAAGTCAACTTACGTGGTTGGTGCAAGAGTGGCACTCTAGCTTCGCCGCGAGCGCGATGGCAGCGCAGAAGAAGAAGATGCAGTTCAGGGCGTCGATGATGATCATGATGAGGGGGTGGCCGGACCAGTCGATGTTGAACGAGGCTGGGACCAGGTAGAACAACGTGAACATCGAGAAGACCGATGTATAGATGGAGTAGTTTACGGTCGCTGGGTTGCCGGCGAAAGCTTCAGCGATCATGTTACCGACGAGGGCCATGACGAGCAGGGAGAATACAAACTGTAATGGGTCAGTACTATATTCAACTTGGGATTCTTATAGCTTCAAGCTTTAAGCTTCTAGCTGTCGCATTGCAATTGCACTCACCTCCCAGGCTCTGAGACCGAGCTGCACACCTCTGAGACCCATTTTGTAGATTTAGATTAGGTCGAGGTTGATTTAGATCCGATTGTCGCGTTAGATCGCGAGGAGGCAGGCTGGTTGGAGGGGTATAGGATGGCGAAGTCGAGTAAAGAATAAGCCTATAGGTCGATTCAGCAGTATATAAAAGCTCTGGGAAAACGTCGACGTTATGAATCGGATGTTCCGGAGCTCAGTGATGACATGGAAAAGCAACATCTTCAAAACCTTAAAGGTGGCGATACGTCATGCATCCGGCATACAGCGGCCTCATTGGACTCGGTTGCATGTACAGTGGTGGGATGTCGGAGATGAAATCATGAGTGGTTGCACTCTGGTCGATGATGAGTTCTCGACTAGCTCAGGATTTCCTTGAATGAGGCCTCCATTGCTGTTCTTTGATCCACTTGGGTTTTTTTTTCTCACACCAGTTTTGAAGATTCTGCTGGAAGAGACGGGGGGATTCAGGTTCCATTTCCAGTTTGTGGGTTTCCCCTCATTGACAGTTACAGGCTTGGCATTTCTAGGAACGGCGCTGTTGGACGATGTCGATCTTTACGATTAGTGGCTCGATAAGGCTGAGATGATTGAATTCTACGATTGAATTCTAATTCGAACAAAAAGACTGAAGATTCTATTCAAATAAAAAGTAAAAGAGAAACCATAACCCTCCTTGGCGTTATTAGCACCACACTAACCAAGAGAGTTATGGAACCCTTATTGGTAGTTTATTTTACTTTGACCTATATAAAAGAGAGAGAACACAGTGAATCTTTCAATTCGATGCCATATCTATGTTGTACACGCTATGACCTTACATCTTTATCCGACACAATCCCCGCTAAACTACTGTCTACTACCCTATATACTTTTATATAGATCTTATTTAATAATTTAGAATTTGGTAGTTCGTCTTGGTAAAAAACCCACTTTCTATGTCTCCGTGAGAGTCTTCTTATAGCTGCTCAATCAACAATAAAGCTTGCTTCAATTTCCCAGCGACAACAGAGTGTCCGTTTCGTGTTGCTGCTTTGATTGCCGTTTCCATCATCTCTCCGGGTGCAGGGGCGTCGAAATTCACCTGATCTGTGAGTAGCACGTTCACCATTTCAAAGTGGCCACGCTCCGCTGCTGCCTGCAATGCTCTTCCTCTGTCGTATCCGGACGCAGGCACCGCGACTTCGGCCCGGGCTGCGAGGAGCCTCTCCCCAATTTTCCAGTAGCCGCCTATGACTGCTAATTGGAAAGCTCTTGCCCCCCAGACTTCCCAGGACACACTTCTCTTAACATTTGCCCGAGCTTCGAGTAGTCGTTCCACTATTTCCAAGTGACCACCCTCCACTGCTACCTCAAGAGCCGAGGATATTGTTTCTTGATATCCAAAATCCGCCCCAGCTGCGAGTGGTTTCTTTACTGTTTCCAAGTGACCGTGTGCCGCTGCTCCTTGGAGTGCTGTTTCTCCGATCATCCTATGTGCAGGAATATGATGAACCGCCTGGGCTGCTAACAGTCGCTCTAATATTTTCAAATGGCCTCTCTTTGCAGCGGCTAGAAGTGCTATGCCTCCCTTGTCATGTGTCCCAAATGAGTTGATTTCCTCGGCCGCCATAAGCAACCGCTCGACAATCTTCAGATGGCCACCAGCTGCTGCTAAATGTAGACATGTTTTGCCGCGTGAAGAAATCGGTCTAGCAAAATCGGCTTTCTCGCTCAGTAATCGCTCCACAATTTTGAGATGGCCGCCACCTGCTGCAGCTTCTAGCACCGAACAGTCGTCAAGAATAGTATTCACGTCGGCTCCAGCTCGAATTGAAAGATTCAATGAAAAGATGCAACCTGATTGAGCAGCAAAAAACACCCCATATTTCAAGACCTCAAGGGAACTTCCTCTTGCAACGATCAAGTGCGTAAAGCGAAAGCGATATTTCATAGGGGAGCCCTTCAAGATTTCACACATCGCTTCCTCTGTGAGACTGTGAGGTTGACGTTGCATAATGTAGACCAACAGCGTAAGATGCCCGGAACTAATCATTGCCTGAACTGAGGTTGAATTGTGGCTTTGTTCTTTTTGGTCCCGCTGCATGGGCTCCCATGGTTTTTGTGCCGATATATCATCGTCTTCCATGCATCGGCAGAAGAGCTTCCATATCTTCTGGTGCACTACAGGATTTATGAGCGTTGTGTGGTAGATCCAATTTGTCTCGGCATATTCATGGAACTGGAATTCATTGTGTTGTACCGGGATCTGACCGGGGGATTTGAACTCATTGCGAAGCGCTTCAATTTTGTTTTCAAGTTCTCGAGCACTAATGCCCTGCAGCTGATGACGACGAGACAGCAGTTTCAGTGCTATTTGGTTGGTCGCACCATTATGACTATGTATGCGCGAGAGACCAAGCTGAATCGGGTTTAGTCGAGTATTGGAGCTTTTGTCGGCTCTCGTCAACTGACGCTTGAAGTCGGAAAAATCCAGGTAGGTCATGCAGAGAAACCCGAGATGTCGATCGAGTTTTTCTACGTCGAATTCTCTTAAGTGTGCGCTGTTGGTGGTAAACAGGTATTGCTTGACACTTTGGTGAACGTAATGGACAGTGTCTTCTTCTTCGTCAATATACACCAAGCCGCAACAGTCGCTGAAAACGTGATTCATATCGCTGGGGAATTTCCCATGTTCGATGGACTCTTGTCCGGGAGAAAGACTCAGCGCTTCTCGATACTCCATGACAGTCAAAGGTTTTTTGAAGACACCGCAGTATTGCAACACCTTGATCGCGTTGTTATTAGTCTGTCGATCGTAAATCCGAGATATCCTGCGATCAAATATTTCCAACAAGCCACGTGGAAGATTGTTGAGGGCATTTATGATGTCGTTGTCGCAACTTTGGGCGCAGAGGTCTTCGATGAACAAACGAGTCCAGAGAAACCTGTTTAATTTTCCTGTGAGCAATGGCATATGTTATCATTTGTGGAGGGCGGCGAAAACAATATATATCAAAAAAAACTGTTTGTGGCCGTAATCTATGGAAAATTTCAAGGGGAACTAAAGAAGAAATTGGAAATTGGAATTGAATGCTTCATCACTTACATGCCATTGGATCCCTCCCGTAATGCCGTGGAGATCCTGATTATTAGACCAGGATCCCCTAATTTCAGATCTTCTTCCTCGAGACAGCGACCGAGGGTAGTCGAAATATAGTGATCTATGTCCCGCTCGACGTTTACACCCGTGATTGGGATAGTGAAGTCAGGTCTGAAAACCCCGAAAAGCTTCTCTTCAAGCTCGTACCGACCGGCGCAGATCAGCTTGAATCTTTTCTCACGGCTTTTACATAACCGAGCTAGTTCTGATGACACCTTTTTGATCTCGGCGCTATCAAATTCATCCAACCCGTCGAGAATCAAGAAATACTGCTTCTTACCCTCAAGGTATGAAAGAAGCAAGTCGATAACATCTTCTGTGTCCAGACAGCCGCTGGTATCCTCGAGCTCTCGGAGCTTGGCATTGTCTTCAAGATCAATTTGCGAATCTAGCAATTGACGGGCGATTGTTCCAAACAGGCTTCTGGCCGATAGGGATGCCGTTTCCTCGGCACAGCAGATGTTGTATGAGATAACATCATTGGGCTCCCGTGATCTGTATAGATATGCCACTATATTGGACATAAGTGTCGTCTTTCCCACACCCATTTTACCTGGGCACCAGAGAACGGCACTATCTTGAGAATCCTTCCACCGAAAGAAGGTGGTTTCCTGTTGAAGCCACTCTGCCGTAGAAGAAACGCGCTGCCTTAAAGCCTGCTTCCATGGCTTCACAAAATTGATGGTTGAGAGATTATCTTTGATGGTGGATCTCAATTTCGAGTTTTCTCTTTTCAACTTGTTCAGGCGCCATCCGTTGGCTTGTGTGTACTCCTTCTGACTTTGCTCATGGAAGTTCAATGCGCGCCGGCGGAAGTACCTGTTCCTTTGGGTTTCATAATGCAGAAGGTTCCTCATTTCCTCGATCGCCTGGTTCGCGGCTAATGTAATCTCTAGACGCACATGTTTTGCGGCTTGCTCGAGCTGAATTAGGAGTGATTGGAACTCGAATTCGAAAGGATTGAAAATAGACGATAAGATCTGGGAAAATGGAGCCCGCCGCGATATCTCCATTGTTCTAATGCAAATTCGAACAATGATAGCATAATAATTGCACAACTCGCGCTGGAGACCGGTGCATCCGGGGTAGAGCTGACCAAATTCCTGGTATTTTGGACAAGACTTGCCAATTGCCATGATCATGCTTGTAAGCTTGTCAAAATAGGACGAGATATTGCTTGCTGACAGGATAGCCACTTTTAAACCTCCCCAAATCAGACCGGCGATTTGAGGATTAGAGCTGACAAATGTGTCCACGATGGTAGTGAACTTCTGCGTCGATTCGAGAAAATTATACAGCTTTACTGCAACGCTTCTCTTTGTCTTAGTACTGTTATTGGCATCAATCTCCGCCACGAATGTAACAACACTAGAAATGTCTGGACTTTGGTTGCTCATATGAAACTCTTGCTTTTGCTCCTTCGTGAGGACACTCTCAAATGCCTCCAACGCTTGTGTAAGAGCTGCCGTGGGATCTGGTGTTCCGGGATGGCGGGAGAGAGGCACAAGTTCAGCCATGTCGGGCAATGAGCCTTATTTGGGCTATCTCAAACGTTCAAATACTTGATCGCTTGGAGATACGCAGTATATCCTCGTATGGTATGGGCGGACGTGATAGAGATTAAAAGAATCAAGGAGTTGGGAGTTATTCAGCGGCCTAGCATTCGGCATGGGGAAGCGATAGATTCGATTTGGTAACCTGCAAATATAAGGCAGGTCAAAAAGTCAGGGGTGGCTAACGTCGTCAGTATCGGTGAGAGGCAGCAGGCAGAAGGACACCTGATTGGCCCCTATGCGCGCCTGCAGATGCAACAAAATTCACAGCCTCAAAGCTGGCTCCAATGTTCAACCAATCATCTCGTTGAGACTTGCCATTGACGTGGCAGTGCACAAGAGTAAGCAGTTTGAATATTTGGTCGATGAGCTAGCTCTCCATACCATTAATAGATGCTGTCAACAAAAGAGAGTCACCATCTAGTAGTGCGTAGTGCGCCCGAGGGATATTCAGCACCATTATCTGCCTAATGATCGATCGTAAGGCTCCCAACTATCTTACTTAGCTTAACCTCCATTTATTCTGCGCGTTCTATAGTACCATGGGGGTCACTAAGAAATACCCGGCCTGTAAAAATAATTGACGAGAAGGTGTGGAACAACATTTTTGAAGACGGCGTCTTCGGCGCCGGGCCTTCGCTATTCGCTGTAGTCGGGGATGCCGTGAAGCCGTCCGTGAGACGGGTAGCTTGCCTATAAGGCGGACGAAGCCCTTGACTACCTTCTTCAGCTGACGCTTCGTCTCAAGGGCCCGTCTAGAGAATCAAGAAGTCCCGTGTTTGATGCCCTTGGTAGGTGTGGTTCGTGGTACTGGCTTGTGAAGAACCCAATGCGTGCAGAAGCAATGGCTCGAAGATGTCTTGATGCGGATTGGAATGATTATGTCTGTGGCGTAGCTGGTACGCAGTTCGAATGAGCTGCCGAGTCTTGTAAGTTGTTGGTCAACTTTAACAGATAGTTTTCTTTCCTTTCCCTGTACTTAGTATCTTGGTAATATGCACTCGTTCTCCTGAACTGAATTAATGGTATATCACTTCCTCTCAGACTCACTTTCAACTCACCTAAATATATGTTCAATCTAGGTAGAAATTAGGTAAACAAACATGGATGTTAAAGTTATTAGTCAACGCGCGAGCCTGGCTGATTGCAGTGGTATAAATACCCTTCCATCCTTAGGCTTGATCATCCTTCCTCTTCTCATTCACATCTCAGGATCAAGCTTCCTGGGGCTTACTACAAGAAATACGTTGTCTATAGGCTTCCTAGCCAGACCAGCTCAATCTTCTTTTCATTTATATCCCCAGGAGATGGGAGACCCTAGCAAGCCCAATACCTGGATAAAGGACGTTCATGATCTGCCAAACACCGTTAGTCTTGTTGGGATCATTTACGTCCTATACCTCGTCGGGCAGGTTGTGGTTAATTCTATGACTCACTTCCAGAAGCTGAAAGATACTTGCAGAGTAAGTTTAATTGATATCCCTCCCTATATTGAGAGCAGTTCGAAGGATATCACTCAGACCTGAATACTAATAGTCACTATAGGAAGACGGCGAAATATACCATGGATCCCGAGAGCATATGCTACGGGCTGGCATAGCTGAAGTCGCCGATATGCGGTCATTGAAGAATACGAGAGCGAAATGGCTGGATGCGAGCAAGGTAATTACTTTGCACTCGACGTCAAGGTCATGCCAATTTATGAGAAGGAAAAGAACATTTTCATGGCTTTCCTATATCAACCCAGTCACATGGGGTTCTTTGCTGCAGCTGGTGATTCGTCGTCGTCTGCACCGAGTTTGTCAAGTCCCACTTCCGATGGAGCTTCGCTCCGCGAGTTGACGGACTTACCCAGGTCATTACGGCTATCGGTCGAACCTTTGAACGCTCATCGGGGTCACCCGATGAGCTATCCTTTGGAGATGATGGCGGGCCGGATCGAAGGGCGGAAGTGAGTGATGCAGCAGAGACGGTCAGGCAAGTCCAATTCCTTCTGCGGTATGGTGATTATGCTGGCATGGTGTGGAATGTTCTACGTCGGATCTCGCGACTTTCCGACACGCCTCTGCCAGACTTTGTCGTCTCATTCGATACCGACCTCGACGTTGGTGGAGAAGACCAGGATGATGGAGCATTGCCAGGCGGGACCCCCGCAAACTCTGATGCCACTGTTAATCGCGATTGTACCTATGTCCGGCCCGATGGAAAGTCCAATCCAATGGAGGTGTGTTGTCTTGGACGAATCAAAGAAGGAGAATACTATCGGTACCTTAAATGGATCATATATGAAACTGAAGGTCAGTATTGCAAAAGCTAGAGTTGAGTATTATATTAATGGTATAATAGGACATTGACAACAAACCATTGACATCCGTTTCTTACAACCGTCCTCGCCGACGGTATTTGTACTTCTGTTTCGTACCTGAATGCAAAGAGCCGAGGAACCAGTGACGAAAAAGGTTAAAGCCACGCGTTATCGGCCCCCCGCCGGCGAGTAGCAATCGGTCAATACTGGTTAAATTAGCCCGTTGTTTTAGGATCGGAACTCCGATATGTACGACACTGCAAGCACTGGGTGTGGAATCGACGGCGATCAATCTACCCAACAACAGGGAGGAGATTCGAATCGACGAGCCTATGGTAAGGTCGGCAATCAAGGCGTCCGCGTTGCGGAATAAGCTCTGCCACAGCAGCAATCTTCGAGGTACCCCCCAGACATCACAGTGCAGTACGATGGAGACCTTTAGAATTTAGTGGCACTCGTCGAGACTCGTTCCTTCCCTTTCGAGGTCGTGAGTCATTCCCTTCCCCAAATCTCCGAAGCTGACTGTACGGACCATCATTGCGATTGGTCCCGGTCCAGCTTCAACCCCACAACCTTATTCCTGAACCAGACGGAACCGACCAATCACGATGGTTCCACCACGAAACGCAGCGATCGGCAAGGGTAAACCGCGACAGTGCTAGATCGACATGAGGAAGAACCGGTTGATCCCGAAACCTCAAACCCCACTGGTGTACAGGCCCTCGTTGAAAGTATCGAGCATGATGATGCCGGAGAAGGCCCTTTCAATGTTCGTGCGATCCTCGACGCAACTCCGAATGATGATTGAATTCTATATTCTAATTGAAAAGAATGAAGCTTCTATTCCGATTAGAGAATAAGAACAAAAAAAGTAAACAAACCCTCGACTCTGACGTTATTAGCACACTCTAACCAACTGAGCTATGGAACCCTTAACCTTTGATAAAATAGTTTCTTCTACTTAATCTATGTAAAAAGATAGAGAACAGACTCAGGTATAGCTTTCAGTTCTATATGCCATACCTATACTGTATGCGCTATAGCACCTTACAATCTTTATCCGACACAATTCGGTTGTCTACTATGGGATTTATATTGTTATGTCTTTTTTGGTGTCTTTTTTGGTATATCCTATACTGCTATTTGGAGCCTTTTGATACTACTATTATATAACTTTTTTATATAGAAAGAAAGAAGAAAAACTGGTCCAATACTATGGAGTTACCATGGAGCATATGCTTGTATATAGTATCTCTCTTAATGCGATATCACTTCCTCTTACTAGACTCACTCTAAACTTACTTCAACTCATCTAAATATATGTCCAATCTATTCGCTGAATATGGAACTACAGAATCGATAGGATAACCCCGTCTATATTCGCACTCAATGATAATGTAATACGGATTACTATACAATATAGAAACCAAGCAAACGAACATGGATATTCAAGTCATCAGTCAACGCGCGAGCCTGGTTGATTGCGGTGGTATAAATACCCGTCCACCCTCCACCCCTAGGCTTCTTCGGTCATCAGCTCTCATCCCTTGATCCTTCATCCTGTCATTCGTACCTTAGGATCAAGCATCTTAGGGCTCACACAAAAAATATGTTGACTATAGGCTTCCTAGCCAGACCATCTCAGTCTTCTTTTCATTTACACCCCAGGAGGCTTGATCCTTCTTCTTCTCATTCGCATCTCAGGATCAAGCCTCCTGGGGCGTAACTGCAACAGATCTATTTTCTGTGGCCAGTATTGGGTCTACTTGAGGCTTCTTAGCCGGACATCTCAGTCCTAATTCTACTTTCATATCGGTTGTTACGGCCTGAAGGATCGATGGGTCGTTCTTGCCTGTGTGGGAAGCAAACATTCCTTCCTACTAAGCGAGCATAAGCGAGTATATCTGCATTTGCATTGTTTGACACGAGACGCACAAAACCATCTCGGCTCCTCGTTGGTCTTTTCTTTTATTCTCCTTTGATTGTTCTTTAGAATGCACTCTTTGTTCAATAAGGTGCATAACCTCGCTTATCTCGTCGACACTGTCTGTGTCTGAGAGTCACCACCATTGTTTGCCCACAAAGGTTCCTGACAAATTCTTTCTTTCGCTTTCATCACCACCCATCTTCCTTTTTTATTCAACTCAACCATCGATACCTTCGTCTATTCGCATCTATCCTTGGACCAGCGTGGCTGCGTTTTAATCTTTGTTCCAACCTGACTACACACCAAAGGGACACCGTCCAGATATCAAGCGGAAACAAACATCGCTTTCTGGAATGACCACAACTATATGGTCTTGGATATGTGGCCATTGCAGGGCATGAGAACGAAATGGCTGGACGCGAGCAAGGCAATTAATTTGCAGTCGACGTCAAGGTCACGCCAATTTATGAGAGTGAAAACAACACTTTCATGGCTTTCCTGAATCTAACTCAACGCAACAAACCAATTGTCTTTGCGCGCACAGCATCGAAAATCCAAAAGTCACACTCATTGCCTTAGAAAATCTCGATCATTTGAATGGATAGATCAAGCCAGCTATTGGCACGTTTGTTCGACTCTTTCAGATATTGAATCGTCTCGCTCGCTAGCTTATCTTGATTCTAGCTAGCAGCACGAAAGGGCCGAGAGATATTTGAAAGACGCGGACAGATGTGCCAACAACTGGCTTGGTCTATCCGTTCAAACGATCTTGGCTTTCCAGGGCAATGAGTGTGACTTTGTGATTTTCGATGCGGCACGCGCCAAGACGGTTGGCTATAGCAAACTTCCGACGCTGGCATATTGCGCTAGCCTCTGGATTGTCTAATCTAACCATATGTCCTAAGAATCAATCCCGTTGCCCAAGTCCCAAGCTACATTCAGGGGACATGCAAGTTTGTGAGTTCGAAGCAGTTGAAAAACGACTCTCAAAAAACTAGAAAGTCAGTCGTTTCCGGATATTCCTCGGGATACACGTGCTTATCGTATGCCCAGTTGCGTGCTACTCGACTCGTCGGGTTCTGCGCATGGAAGGAACGGAGCATGGACCGCACTTTCATACAGAAGGAACCGTTCCCTCCATACTGGAACACTCATTTGCATGGTTTGGCAAGAACGCCTACAAAGCTATGCAATCGGGACGCAAGTAACATTACTATTCATGTGTTAAATCTTGCTCTTTCTACTACCGGTAGTCAGTCTGCTCCTGGTGAGCCTTCTCACGGGTAGGCGTCCTAAGTTCGGCACTGCTGCATTGGGTCAGAAGTGACAAAATCGACATGACCGATGAACCTCCATTTTCTACTGTATCTCTATCTCTAGAATTGAATCAACTTGTCTACCATATACATACTCTAAGTGCAGTTATTTGATACACAAGTATATGCCCCATGGCAACTCTAACTAATGAAGGTTATGCCGATGGCATAGCATACTTAGTCGCCCGTCTACGTAGCATTATTCCAACCTTGGAAGTGTTTCCATTGCAATAGATAAGACTGCATACTTGTATGGATAAAATCAAAGTTCAACTCCAGCAACTATGCTCAACCACCACCAGCCCACAACCCCAACCCCCACTAGCTCTCCCCAAAGGCACTTTGCACAGATCCATACCTAGAAAAGTCAGTATAATTCATAAATCAAATCCACCCACAAAACTCACCCTTGAGGACACTGGCTACCCAACGCAACACTACCACTACGCATGTAGCAGACCTTAGCCTCCTGACACGCGGCAGTAGTGCACGTAGGACTCTTAACACTCTTCTTCCCTTGGTAAGTATTATGCAAACTAACCAGCTCCACATCCTTCTCCATAGCCTCAGTAACCCGATGCCAGAAAGTCGCATTCAACGGTGCGTCCTCATCCCACGCAGCTGCGGATCCGTACGCCTCACGGGTAGAATATTCAATCTCAAATGTCGGACCCGTGTGCTCCAGAGCCGGGAATTCAGACACATTGCTGTAGAAGGTGTATGCCTCGTAGATGTTAAAGTCGCCTGTATCGACTTCGTAGAGACGGAATCCGCTGTTGAGGTTTGTCAGGGGTGTTATGCTAGGCATGATCCAGCCGGTGGTGAGGGCGTTATCGGCATTCTGCGCAGTCCCGTTGTTGGCGTAGTATACCATGAACTGGTCTTCGTGGGTGTGTCCGAAGAAGATGTTGGCGATTACGTGTGGCGAGTAGCGGTCTACGATCTGGTAGAATAGATCGGTTGGGTTGGGGAGGGGGTTGGTTCCGTCCCAGCCGCTGAGGACGTGGCCGATTATCCAGACGCGCTCGCCGGCGTCTTCGGCTTTTTGTAGTTCTTCGATCATCCAGGAGAATACGCCTGAGTTGTCCGGGTTGGTGGTGTTGATGAATGTTAGGAAGTTGGTTCGGTACCAGAAGTCTGGGAGAGTGAGCGGGTGAATACTAAATATGGGATGGCAACATACCTGTGTTGAATGCGAGAATGCGCAGTCCGTAGTGCGTCTTCACGGAGTATCCGCCATAATGCGTTCTCGCTTCATCGGCGGTCTCACGGCTAATCCAGCCTTCATGGCGCCACAGTCCAGCCAGGTGCTCATAGTTCCAGCTTTGTTGTTCTCCCAGACGGCCAGGGAGGTTGTGAGGAGAGTCGATATTTGCAGGACTGGTGTCGTGATTTCCAAGTGCCGCAAAGACAGGACCAGAGAGATAGTGCTTGAACATATCGTTAATACTAGTCTCTGTATACTGGGTCAATGCCTTGGAGATCTGGGATGCCGGATCATGCGATACCAGGTCGCCAGTATAAAGCGTCCATGCAAGATGCTCGTCGTGTTTTCCTTTGCCAGTTCCAGTCAGAGGACCAACAGCTTGCAGAGCAGCAAGACCCAAGTCATATGGGGTATCGCACATGAAAGAGCCATACGAAGAGGCAGAAAGCAGCGGGCTGCCTTCGGAAAGGTCGTTGGAGTTGTCGCTCCTACAGCAGAGGCTAGACGTGCAGTTTGCTTCAGAACTAACGGCATACCGGGCATCGAGATGGAAGTCTGACAGATGCAGTACCTTGACCCGCTCGCCACTTGCCTTGGGAACCTGGGCATCTGCAGGCTTGGGCTTGGGGAAAAGCTTGGTCGTGTCAAGCGGGCTGGTAGTTGGCGCACTACAAAACTTGCTGCTGAGAGAATGGCAGATGTATTCACCATCCAATCCTTCTACATCGGCGTATGCCAGCACCTGCGTCCAGATAGCACCAAAGGTGTTTGTGGCGAAATCTTGCTCGCACGTCTCATTGGCATGGAAGGCAAAAGCCTTGCACAGGCTGACCATGGCGTTCGGGACAAAGGTCGGGGCATGCAATGCTGCAGGCTTCGCTGCGGCTAGAGCGTTCTTGCATTTGGTGCAATTGTCTTCTGAACTCGACTTGATGATGTTGGTCACATTGGATAGTGCTTCTTGAAACAGCCTATACCTCTTTTTGGCAGACATGTGAGTTCGCGGCATAGGAAAGTAGACCTCATCTTGATTGTCTGGGATGTTGTCGGGATCAGTCAACTCATAGGGAAAGGTGAGGTCCAACACAGGATCGTAGATAATCGGCTGGGGTTGTTGGGTTGGCTGGGCCGGGGAAACATAGTAGGATCTTGCATTCACATTAGCATATGTGCCTAAGCTACCAGACTATCAGTAATCATACGAGAATACAGAGGTCGGAAACCCAGCAGCAGCCACATAGGACGCGTCACCAGGGAGTGAGACAGCAGCAGCAAGGTTCAAGATCAGAGATGTAGTCCCCAGCAAGGCCAGGGCCATCTTGGATAGACAGTGCGCCATTACTGCAGGCGAATGAAATACAGCAGAGAAGAATGAGAGATAAGCAAAGAGGAAAAGAGGTATTTACATATTTACATACTTATGTACTGTTGCGCAACATAATCGCAGGTCCGATGCACGTGGTGGTCTATACCTATGGGATTCATCCGTCGCCTTTCCCGTGGCGCAGAGATCTACACGGCATTGCTTGATTCATCTTAGTTCCTGGATGTGGAATTCCTCTGATTTCTCTTTTTTGTACCTAAGCCCTCATGTAGTATACTAGCTAGATGCTAGGCAGTCGAAGCTTTACTATGTTCAATTGCAAGTCAATTGCATATTGTACAAATATTAAATTGGTTTGAGTCTGAACACGCTATTTAGGATCTAAAGTCTGGGTGGATACGGCAGTTTTGGGCCGCGCCAACCGTCGGGTTAACCAGCTGCCATGAATCTCAATGTTTCTTGTTAATATATGGGAATGGATTGCTATGATACGGGGTTAATATAATCAGATCCTAATAAAAGACTGATTCTCTACTATACACCGACAGGAGCGGAATTGAAGGTAGGATCGGAGCAGCATCGTCGGTCTCAATGACTTTCGTTATACAGTATAGCTACCCTCTCCCACGCCTTCGCTGAGTCAATCCCTCAGGGCGCTTCCGAAAAAATTCCCTAGGAATGAAATTTCCATCTTCATCCTGCGCCGTCCCATCGCCCTCATCATAGACAGGAATCCACCCATCCGGGGCATTCGGACACAGCTCGCACATATGATCGAATTGGAGATTCAAATAGAGAGGCCACAACGCCCAGACCAGCACCCTCATATATCCACAATCAGAAGGCGAATCATACCTCTTTCCGGGGTCATACCGTCCATCAACGACCCCAACAAACCCGTCGTCAGGGTCATCAGTCGCAACAAGCGAGTTCAACGATCTCTCATCAATCACAAGACGGACAGCAAAGCGAGATTCCTCGCAGTGTTCTTCCTGCTTAATCTCACGCAGATACTGAGCGAAATGGCCGCGAACTTGCTCGATACCGGCACCGTCCCAACGACTCGAGTCGGAGATGATCACGTCCTTGTGGGACTCTTCTATCAGATGCTCGGGGCGAGGGTCATCCCCATAGTTCAATTCACCCTTTATCCATGTAGTCATCACGCGGGTTAGCTTTTCCATGGCGATCGGCCACAATTTCTCAGACTCGGGCGTGTAGACTGTTCGATAGATGATATATCCCCAAGGAAAATGGCATGGGAATCGTTGGGTTAGGAATCGATGGGTAATGCGATCTGCCGTGTTTCTGTAGCATGGCTCTTCCTTCCACTTTGCCATGGCCTTTTCGGTGAAGTCTGGATGGTGCCAGCGTTGTGGCCAGACCGGGTGATGGTAGTGTTTGTTATAATCTACTTCCGAGGCCTGGTCGATGGGGTTGACCGAGGCAGATTCAGATAGGGACGGAGTTGAATTCATCTGTGGGAAGTGACACAAAATAAGCGAAAAGAGGGAGAGAAGACAGGTAGTAAATTATAGGAGCACCACTTTGACAAGGATAGGACCAAGGGAGAGGAGGTTCACGCGCGGGTATTGATGGAGAAGACCTGAAAAAGACCTGAGAAGGTTTAAATAGGAGATGGATATATTTGTTTGAATATACTTAGGCCTACTCATCGACCAATAATATAAAGTCTTATGATTAATCCAAATAGTGTAAACGTAAACAATGTAGTCTTATAAACTACATGGAGATAGTTATAGAGATGCCGGGATTTGTATGGGCCCAAAGGCTTCGCGCAAGGGACTCAAAACCCTGCCGTAGGTGGAAGTGGACTTTCGTACGTAAGAGGAAAGTGAGGTTGACAACCCTAGTATAATTATATTATTTCGAGCCCAGTGGCTTCCTATCTAGCATAAACTCATTGAGTGGCCAGTCTCTCATGGACTTTTTCTTTAGATACATGAAAACAATGGTATCCCAATTCCAAATCCCACCAATCATGCCGCGAAGGCTTAACGTCCAAGCTGTTCTGTGTGACCACTATGATATAGGGCCAGCGACTGAAGATGCATGCACGGAACCCGATAGCGAGCGGTGGGAAGCGGGTCAACTCCCAGATGATAGATTAATGGTGTATCCGTGCGGGAGAGCAGCAATAGTCCGATTGGCTCGAGCAGACTGATACAATCTGTCGTGCTCATATAGGACATCAATAGGAAGAACACTACCCTGTTGGCATTCCCAAGGAATTGGGGGAAGCAGAGGATGCAGATGGCGATCAGCGGATCAGTAACACCCAGAGAAGAGTCGTGGGTGTGAGAAGTTGAGAGCCAGACAGGTTGCGTGCTGTTGAGCGCAGGCTGGTGATAGGATCCTGGAGGCGGGGTGCTCGAAGCCTGTTGAGCTTGTTGACTTTTGGATGTCGGAGGTGATGGACTCAATTCGGCGATGAAGAGTAATTAGTGATTCCAAAGCGAGCGACAAGTATCAATTGTAATGCCATGTCGCTGTACAGCATAGATTGGATTGCCACATTTCTTCGCGGGCGTTGAATCAACTTTGCGCTTGTTCATCAGAACTTGCTAAGGACGGCACCGCGGGCACAGATAGATAAATTGCACGCTGATGTATTCGCCGTGACAGTCATGGAATGCACTGCCAAAGAAAATGGTTGCCTGGAATCTTGCTCGGACTGCATTTTTGTCGGAACACCATGGCCTGGCGAGCATGGACAAAGACTGCAATTTAATTATCGAGAGCGCCAGAGATCAACGGCGTAGTGTCACCCGCCCAGAAAGAGAAAAGAAAAGACCCGAGGCCGATCTTCAGATCGACTCCACGGCCAGTCTAATCATGGGAGCCACTGGACGATCCACTGGAAGGGGCCTGTACACAGACGAGTTCAACCATAATATCGTTTGGGTTGTCTGGCGGTGCACTATTATAAGAAGGAGCGCGACTGATGATGCCCACAGCCACCTGGGAAGCCTGCTTGTGGGCGCTCATGTGATCGAGATACCAGACCTGCCAAGGCCAAGCGCCCGAGCCAGGTGGCATGATAGTAACGTTCTGACCGGGGACTCGTTCCCTGGCGAAATCTAGAAAAGTTAGAACATAACGCTAGGCAGAAAATTAATCGACATACTTTGGACCGGAATAGCGGCGACGTCGAGAGTGGGCGGCGGGCACGAAGTCAGCGTCGGCGGCTGGATCAACATGTTGTTGAGAACGGCCTCGAGAGGTTTGGAATAGTATTCGCCCGACACGGCAAGAAGATATATAGCATTCTGCAGGGCGGTTTTCAGATCACGGGAACAATCAGCGCCCCAGATACCGTCGCAGCCATTGTTCGCGCCAGAAGGGGTGCCGGTCAGATTGCCGATCCTGAGACCGATTTCGGATGTGCGATTTGAGTCGACAGCACTGAGGTTGATATTATTATTTTGATATCCCAGCCAAAACGCCGTCTTGGTCATGGGGCCTTCGCCCTTGCCGGAGGAACTGGCATCAAAGCCGTAGTAGAGCGTGACGGGGTCCGGGAATAAAGGTTTGAGGTCGAAGCGGATTGCGGTCTGAGCGAGGGAGTCGATACAGCCATTATTCCAGAACGAGCAGAACTGAGCGGAGACCGATTGTAGTAACACCAACAGGGCTAGAGATAGGCTCAGGTGGAAAGCCATGTCCAGGATATATGTCCAGCGAGAGTGACCGCGGAGGCCCTCAAAGTCAGGATAATCGAGAGCAGAGGTAGGGCAAGGTCATTACGGGGAAAGGAGGTAATAAAGGGTGGGAGATTAACTGATAAAAGGCCGTCAACGGAAGCCAGGGAAACGGGTCCCCGCAATACCTACTAGGGTCTGAAGAGAATGAGGCTAGTGCCAGTGGAAAGCCCCCCAAAAAAGGGTCTGATTGTTATTTCGGGGTCCTAGGGAGAACGAACAATTGGCGCTGCCGGTCGAACTTGGGAAAAAGAAAGGAAAAGAAAGTGCCGAGCCCTTGCCAAGGAGAAAACCAAATATACAGATTGTTGCGACTTGTATGTATTATTTCAGGTTTCTCGCATTCTTGTGAGAGCGATGTGATGGGGGATAACTCGGGTACCTGCTGGGTACCTGGGAGGTACCTGCTGCACCCTGTGGGTTTAGGGGACCAACAAGTCTCCTGGATGTACCCCCTTGATTGGAAAGGGAATCTTATTTTCAGCGCTAAACCAGAAGTCCCCGCATTGCTGTCCCAAAGAGGAAGTTATTGGTATCGATCAGCCACAGGGTAAAGCAGGGTCCAGCCACTTAGATGCGACCGATGCCTCACACTTGGCACTGCGGTGTATTGGTATTGTATTGGTATTCTATCGATCCTTTCCTTTTCTGCGTTTAAGGTCAGATCTCCCGGATTTGCATGACCTCATGTTCATTCCAGACGTTTGAATTGCTAGCAAGGGTATTCTGTACTTTGACAATAATAATAACACAACACCCAATCCATACCCGGATGAGATCTGTGCGATATGCACGTCGTGATGCATACCAGATATGTATGATCCTTGCCTGTGCTCCGATAGGCTCGACGGTGATAGCTCCTCTGACGTAAGAAAAAAGCCTGAAATAATTGGCACTCGCTGCGTCATTTGGTTTCAACGTCTGAAACACTCTCTCATTGGACGTTGCGATCTCGGGTTCGCATGTTTTCAGCCAGAGGGTTCTTGGCTGACTCGGCTGTGTTATCGCGAGACACCGGAGTCCACTTAATCCAGTAATCCTCCGTATTCACGTTACTCCGTGCTCGGGGAGAAATCCCTCGGAAACAAGATTAATTGGAATGCCGGCTTACCTTCTAACTTTCAGGTATGTATGGAGTACCAACATTCTGGGCATGGAATATTCGAAAATTCGATACATAGGAAAGATAACTGATTTTGGATTTTGAGTAGGGACCTAGAATAGGAAAGGACAGACTTTTCAACCAACAAGCCGAGCGTATATTAGGCTAGGGAGTCCAAAACAATACTTCTCGAATGTCACACATTTCACAGCCTGCAATTCATCGAACTCAGTCCGCGTGATCTAGCCTGTCATCGGCGGAGTTAAGCCACAGGTATCTCTCGACGTCGGCGCTTTGTGCCTTTTTAAATTGTCAAGTGGGTCATTCATTTGCGAGTGAGACTGAGTGCCGGGCACGCCGTACTTGTCGATGGCCTTAAGAGGCAAGAGGTGTGGCATGTCAACAATGCGCGTTGTCGGTCATCCTGTCTTGCAGCTTGATCTCCATACTATACTAAACAAACATGAATTGACGGTAAACGAAAGGCGATTGAAACTTTCTTCTGTTAGAAATTAGAAGGCCCGTTGTGTAGGTACATATACATACTTCAACACTTTTGGCTTCAGGTCGTATCCCCGAAGCAAGTCGCGGTGTGGTCGCATGGACCATAAGACCGTTCGGCGAAAGTGGTATTATTGACGAATCGGAAGCGACACACTCGATGACCACCAGTTCGCCAAGCTCCATAGAATATCACACCGGCAGGGGCGAGAAAAAAAATCCAAAAATCCAAGAACACAAAGATAGAAAATTGATGCATATTGTACAATGAACCAAATGAGCGTTAACATGCTCCCCTTAACATAATGTACATCCCCGAGGCTTTGCCCCATGCAAACAGTTAGACATATACAAATTCGAAGATCAACAATCAAAATTGGAGGGAGAGTTTCGATCACATCCCCACGCCAGAACTCCACGCTTGAAACCAGAATGCAATGATTGGTAGATTACCCAAAACCTGACAGTCCAAATCAGAAATGGACGTCAATCATTTGTCGTTCTCAATGGAACGATCCTTGCCGTGCAGCCAGACACGCTTCCAGGGACCGTCAGGTCCGAAAGCTGCCTCTCGGTCTTGGCGCATGCCTTCCAGGACACCAACAACACCGCCACTGCGCAGACGCTCAAGGACAATGTGCATGCCCTGCTTGCTCTTCAATACGGCCTCCTTAGTCCGACTCACACCGATGAGCTCAATAGTCCGCTGGATGCCGGCAGTGGAAAAGGACGCGAAGAATCCCTTGCGAGGCTCTTCCTCTTCATGGTCCCCAGTGTCCTGCTTCTTCTTCCCGAGCAGCTTGCCCTGACCGAGTCGGGAGCGGAAGGTAACCGTAGTCTTGACATGAGTCTGTTCGCTTTTGTCGAGACCATCGAGGGCCAGGCGGTCTTCCTGGGACAGGAGTCGCTTGTAGCATTGCTTCTCGACCACGCTCAGGATGCCCGTCCACTCCATGTTGCGGGACTCGGTCTCCATCCACCCCTCCTTGGCGTCAACAGTGGTCTTCTCGAGGATATAGCTCTGGCCGGAACTGTCTGAGCCGCCCATGCCTTTTGGCAGAAGCTTTAGAATTCCAGAGGGGATCTTGGACTTTTTGAGGTGTAGTCGGATGGTGTGCAGACGCTCGGTCTTGGGGTCGACGTATCGGTCAATGACATCGGTGGTGAGGACATGGCGGGAATAAGGGTTAGGATAGCGGAGGAAGTAGGCGAGGGACACGGCGGGGAAGGAGTAGTCGTAGGTGAAATTGTTTTCGAAAAACTTCATGATGGCATTCGGTGATTCATGTAGATGGATTGAGGAGAAAGAGCAAGGAGTCGTCTGATCCAGCACTTTTTGCCTGGGCGAGCAAAGGTAGAAGTGGGGATCCAAGGGGATTAATAGTTATTCCGGGGAATCAGATGCTAAAGATCACATGCATCTCACGTGGTCCGGGGATTAGGCCTATCATCGGCCCGCAATAGCTAAACGATGTAGACCACTCTTTTTGTCCAATTGAAGCCAAGCTGATCAATTGACTCTAAGATAAATATGAATACGGAAGGAGGATTCTGCATAAGTATGGATCCAATACAGTCAAGTCCGACACAGATTCTATACTCCATGTACATAAAGGAGGTCACGCGCCCTCTGAAATCAACATCCAATCACCCAAAGTAGCGGTCAAGAACAAACTAGAACCCAACTTATGATACTACGAGCTATGACGGGCTATCAACGAGGCTTCTCAAGATCCATACATGAACAGTAGAGAGACACACCAAACAGGAAACCGGGTTAGGCTCTCGGATAGACACGTTTCCGCGCAATCTCACGTGATATCAATGTTTCACCCGTTACCCGGATGTGTATTGCAAGCCCCTTTATAGGCCAACACATCCCAGGCTAGGCAGAGGCTTAAATCGCGAATCGAATTCGAGGCTCATTCAATACAACGCAGAAATGGTCCAGTTTCATGATTGATCTTCATCCTCTACCTTTATAAACATGCATACAACTACCGATCCCGTCCAGACTATGGAGACTCGTATCCGTATCAACATTACCGCTCGGCAACGCCAACTGCCATGAGTGGTCCGATGTCCTCAAGGCAAACCGTACCCCAGAAAAGGCGCCCTCCCGAGCCGACTCTCGAGGTCAAAAGTGGACTCCACCGTGTCCAATATGAACGGAGAACGGGTAGAAGGCCTCCCGTCGCCAAAATGGACAAATATTTAAACGAGGTCTTCAATCTCACTCGAGATTCACTCACTTTTATTCCTATCTATCATAGTCCTCCCTCACAATGTCCGAACAAATCCTCGCAGGAAAGACATGCCTCGTCACCGGTGGCGGCGGCGGCCTAGGCAAAGCAATCGCAACGCACTTCCTCGAAGCCGGCGCCAACGTCGTAATCTGCGATGTGAACGAGGAACGTCTGCAAGCGACCTCAGCCGAACTCTCCCCCAAGGGTCCCCTGAAGGCCATCAAGACGGATATCACCCAGACCAGCGAAGTGGAGAGCCTGTTTGAGACGCTGATTGGCGAATACGGCAAAATCGACGTCCTCGTCAACAACGCCGGCATCATGGACCACTTCGACCCGATCGGCGATCTGGACATGGAGCTTTGGGATCGCGTCTTGGCGATTAATCTCACTGCCCCGGCTCTGCTGAGCAAATTGGCTGTTCGGAACATGCTGGCGCAGCCGAAGCCGGATGGGCGCATTATTAATATTGTTTCTGTTGCTGGGAAGGCTGGATGGGCTAGTGGTATGCTCTGAGGTCTCTACTGGATGATGATCTGAGATTGACTTTATTTAGGTGCTGCCTACACGGCTAGCAAGCACGGTCTGGTCGGATTGACCAAGAGCACGGCTGCGTACTATGGCAACAAGGGCATCAAGTGCAATGCTTTGATGATGGGCGGCATGGAAACCAACATCGCGGATGCGTTTAGCAAGGGAATGCATATGGGGGGCTATGAGAAGATGATCGGTGTCCTCAATGCCATCCAAGCTCCTCCCGTCGACGTGAATGAGGTTGCAGGGTTCTGTGTGAACATGACATATGGAAAGGGCGCCGGCCAGATCAACGGCGCGACCATCGCTATTGATAACGGCTGGACTTCCATCGTCGGGTAGACTACGACTATATAGGCATGTTCTTCTCCTAATAGTGTATATATGACATACATACATCCATCCATCAACAGCTCGAAAAAACCAAATCAATTCAAAACACCTCCCATCACCTAGAACTAAGTAACCAACGGATTCGGCTTCGGCGGCTCCTGTTCCCACCTCTCCACACCATCGGGAATATCAACAACAGCATGCTGACACCAAATATGCACAGCCGTCCTCATCATCCCCCTATCCAAATCCTCCAAACAGCCCCCCTTAACATTCGTAATCGCCGAAAACGCCGGCTGTTCGCCCGGCGCAGGCACCGCATCCCGGAAGCGATGCAAAAGCCGCGCGCCACACCCCCTGCAGAAAAGACACTCCAATTCGCGCCCCTTGAGCGTGACGCGCGTGTAGCTGTCCACCAGACCCGACGCGGACTCCGGGAGCTCGAAGTACGGGAATGTGGCGGTGATGCCGAATGCGGAGGAGCTTTGGTGCTGGCATTCGGTGCAGTGGCAGATCCAGAGTTTTAGGGGTTTGTCGGTTGGCGTGGTGAATTGGATCTGGCCGCATTGGCAGCGCGCTTTCATTCCCATCGTGGTGGGTGGGATGCGACTGGTCTAGTTAGGTGAGGGGCAGATATGGGTTTTGGGGACGGAGTTACCCGTCAAGTTTACGGGTGGCGCGGGTGGGACTGCAACGTTGTACGGGTTGACATATCGGAAGGCTTGTGTGGCAAGTAAGCTTGGTGGGGAAGATGATGATATTATGAACCCCTTGTTGGGGGTGCTAACTAGCTAACTATGACTAAGCTGTGACAATATATGCCGGGTCTCAAAAAATCTCGGCCTCCGGCTGAGAAAAAAAGGAAATTTCAATAAAAAATAAGAATAAAAAATGATAAGAAAACGAAAAACGCCGTCAGTTATCGCAGGCCCAGGGCGGAGTGTAGATGTCTGAGGGCGTGAATTCACGCCCGGGGTTGTACGGTGGCCCCTCGGTAGCCGCTTCGAGAGGAGCTTCGCAGTGGTTACCACGTTCTTTATCGCCTAGCAGTAACGGGCTCCCTGGTTGGGCTTAGTCGTTAGGAGCAGCGCTTTGTTAAAGTTAGCAGAGGCGGTAGAACAGGTTTTCCCAGTGTCTGATGGCTCGGCGCTAAATATCCAGGAAACTGCTAAGCGTGTTCGAGATTATCATAAGGGTACCAGCGGCAACGGCTTTGGTCTTCTTAATTAGAGCGGCCTCTTAGAGTTATAGCTAGCGATATCTAGCTATATATTCGTATAACCTTTTTAAATCCTTAATCTCTGGCTGTACCCGGTCTATATACTCTATTATACCTTTATAGGGAAGGATGAAATCACGGAGGATCTTTTCCTTAGTATCAGCTCGGTATAGTTAGCTTTATATAGCTAGTAATTGGCTCTAAGGTTTAGGAATATCCGGTAAAGAGAATAGAGTAGAAGAGCTAACGCTAATCACATCGCTAGGTTAGTCCTATATAGTAGGCTAATATTCTTACTAAGTACTGTAACTAGACTAAGTTAGACAATTTATATTCTAGTATAAGCGTTAAACTAGGTCTATAATCTTTATCTTTTTTAGGTCTATTTAGGAGAAAGTAAAAGATAGTACTTCAGCTAAGTATAAAGGAGACTATATAGAGAATTCCTAGAAAAAACTATAGGAGGGTCTTAGTCCTTATAGGAGTATAGCAATATAGTAGTAATTATCTAAGCCGATATCTAGTATCTTTAAGTTCGTTTTAGCTTTCTAGAGTATAGTATACTAACTGTAGTGGTTATATAATTAGTATACTATAGAACGGGGGTATAGAAATTCGGCTTATTCTTTAGTATAGTAGGCTTAGAATACCACTACTAGGTTAGTAACTATATCCTCTATAAAAGGATAACCTAGGATAATAGGTCTAATTATAAAAACTAGGTTTTCGATTTTAAGCTTTAAATCTACCTTTGGGACTATTAGGTAGCTATATTTTACAGCTATATAAAGGCTAACAAATATATAGTAACGTTTCTAGATTAGTATATATAGGAGACTATAGAAGTCGATTTATAGGTTAGGGTCCTATAGTATCCTACTAGTATATAGTTTACCGTTAGTATCCTAGATAGTATAGAACTTAGTATACTTCTTCTAAGATAGTTCCTTTATCGCTATATAAATAAGCTTATTACTTAGTAGAACGTTATAGTTATTAGATAGTACTAGCCTTCCTTTTAGGTTATACTTATATCTTATATATAAGGGCAACTGAGCGATATCTTATAGAGATAGTCTACTACCTATAATAACTAGGACCTAGTTACTAGTCTAGATTAGCCTATCTAATTCTAGTTTAGTATAAGCGGTATTATAAGATTATATTATATAGGAATTATCGAATATATATCCCAGAAGGTAAAGTATATTAGTTACTCCCTATAATAGACTAAGGTATAGGAATACCTTTCTTTTCGGTATAATAAATCTAGTATATAAGAAAGAGAATAGTTAATATAAAAAAAGAAGTAATAGAGGTAGGAAAAATAGAATAGGTATATTAAGTAGTAAGTAATAGTCGAATAAGAGTTAAAAACTTAAATTAGAGTAAAAGTAGGAGTTAGAAGTAAGAGTCAAGTAATATAAGGTAGTAAGAATAGATAGTAATAAAAGTAAAAGGAAAGTAAAAATAAAGTAAGGAAAATATAGTACTTAGGAGCTTACTAGGAGTATACCCTAACACTCCTCAAAGTCTTTAATAGCCTTATTATATCTAATATAGTCCTCTTCCTATACCTAATAGTTATCCCTAGCTAATTAGCCTTTCTAGTGGATTAGATACTTAGTGATTTAATACCTAGTACTATTATAATAGGGTCGACTAGGTATATTAATAATACACTTAGTAAGAATACAGTTAACCTTATAGATAATATCTTTAGAGAAACGCTTATCTATAGTTAGGTAGTATTTATTATCTAATTAGTACTCCTAGGGGTTATTACTATCTAGGGCAGGTTCTAGGTATATAATACTAATAACTAGGTAGATTCTTAACTTAGTTAGAATATTTAAATAATAAGTAAGCTTCCTAATATATTCGAGTACTTCGAAACGCCTAATATAACACTATTATAGTCACCTTAGTAAAACTTAGTTTAATAGTATATTATATCTATATCCTAGCTTAAGATAGACTTTGTTACTAATATTAAAAAAAATCTACCTATAATAGCGGTTATATTAGCGTTTTATATATATAGTAGCCTAAGCGGTAGAATACTTAGTATCTATATATATAGTAATATTAAGAGCTATAACTTAGTATAAAAGCGACTAAGGGTAGCGTAGTTCGATACTATATAAGAGTTTATAAGATAAATAACTTATTATTATATTAACTAAACTGTTTAGTATAGCTTAGAGGGTAGGTAATAGGTTTAGCTAATCTTCGTTAGGATAAGTAGTAATTATATACTATATAGTAACTTCAGCTATCTAGTTAGTATATTCTAACTAACTGTTAGTTTATAGGTAATAGGCAGTAGTAAAAAATAACTTAGTATAGATAAGGTTAAAAAGTACTTTCTAGAGGCCTTATATAAACTTAGGATTATAATCGCTAATAATTATTATAGGAATCCCCTAATTAGCTATCTATTAGAAAGAGAGAGTACCTAGTACCTAATCTTTACTATCCTAATCTATATAGCTAGGTATTATTTCTATTAACTTAGTAAACTTATTAGTTATAGTTATAGCTATATTATATCTATTAGTTAAAATAGATATCGCGATAATTAGATCTAAAGTAATAGTATAAAAGGGTATCAGTAGGGCGATAATCGGTTAAAGAGAACTATATAAGCGATAACAGCAGATCCTATACTCTAAATAGATAGGGTAATATTTAATATACTACTTTAGGAGCTTAGTACCTTTATAGAATATAATACTGCGAAGCTTATACTAAGCTCTATCAAAACCCTAATATATCTATTTATTATAAACTAAGTTAAAAATTTCCTAAGTTATAGATTAGGGTAGATATAGACTCTCCTTACTATTAGAATTTATAAAAATAATTAAGCTATTCTCTAAGTAGTAGGGTAACTTCTTAACTTAGGGATCCTACTAGGCGTTAATACTTTCTAGAGTATTGATTAGAGCTAACTAGCGAGTATCTAACTAGTATCCTTATAAGATACAATCCTTAGTATTATCGCTTAGCTAAAGTACCGATACTATAAGGAGGTATACTATAGGTTAATCTACTATAGGTTATTTAAATATATATAATACTAGGATATCCTTAAGATTATCTTATATACCAGGAACTAATAGGTCTATATATAGTAGGTAGGAAAGAGTATTAGCAATCTTATTAGTTTTTCCTAGTCTATAGAAGATATATAGGCAAAACTATTAGATAAACTAGGATATATAGACTAAACAAAGATTTTAGTATTCTAAAGAAATAGAACTTAAGTTTATTACTTTAGTAATACCTATAGTACTACTATAGTCGGTATATACTATAACTAGAAGGTTGCTAGGATAGGCCTCTACTAAGTAGTATACCTTATAGAGAGTCTAGTAGAGGGTAGAAACCTTAAGCTTAATAGGCTAGTAATTCTTCTCTATATCTATAAGAAGTTAGCTAAGGAATATAATTAGTTAGATCTCTATAGTAGGGAGTGGTTTTAAAATGTCCTTATAAGTAAACGTTATCTTTATATAATAGATTATAGTACTATACCCTATTTCCTTTAAACTATTAGTATTAATATAGAGCTAGTATATAGGATTATAGTATACTAGCTATTTAGGTTTATAGAACTCAGCCTAGAGTAGATAAAAACTCTCGAGCTTAGCTTAAGAGGGTTTATTAAAAATAGCTTATATACTCTATACTTAGTACTAAGGGCCTTTAATTAGGCTTCCTTTTAGTAAGTTTATTTTATAGACTTAGAATGGTTCCGATTTCTATATATAGCTTTTAATATAATAGTAAAGATTACCTATTATTCTAAGGTATATTTCTAGCTACTTATATATATATAGAAAAACTAGTAAGGTTATTACCTTTACCTTCTTAATAGTTATTAATATACCTATAGAGTTAATATCCTTACCTAGTAGGGTTAAACTTAGAAACCTAATATATACTTTCTTTAGGTCTAAAGTAATATTAAATTCCTCTAATTTTATAAATAGTAGGTAGAGTTTAGTAATATACTCGTTAAGTATATCGCCGACTGTAAAGATATTATTAATATAGGTTTAATACTATTCTTAAAATATACAGAGTATATTATCTATCTAGTATTATATATAGGCGATAGAGTTTAAATTACCTATAGTAATAATATAGAGAACTTTTTAACCGCGGTATAATATAATAGCTTAGTAGCTATAATAGTTAGGGTAGATATACTATTAATAGAAGAATTTTACTATATCTATAATTATAATAAAACGCTTACCTTTTACTAAAGTAATAATCTTATCTTATCCTAGCAATAGGTATAGGTCTAGAACTAAGTTCTTATTTATTAGGCAGTTATTAACTATAGTATAACCGACCCATTAGAGCTTAGTATTACCCTTATCGTCTATATAAGTAATCTATTTCTATATAATAAAAATAGGGTTTATACCCTAGGCTTAGTATTTAGTAAATAATATCTTTCCTTAAGTATATAGAGTATCGAATATATTATTAATAACTTATTAGCTTTCTCTTACCTATCTATAGACTTATAAATACTATAGCTTTAAACTAGGGACTATTAGGAGTCTTATCTATTTATTTTATAGGATATCTATAATACTAGGGTTAGACTAAATATTATATTACTTATAAATATTATAGAGTACTATAGCTATTTTAGGCGTTCTATAGATTATAATACTATTAGGTAGTACTATTTCTAATAGATATCCTAGCTAAGTATAGGCTATAGATATTAGTAGGACCTTCTGTATATCTAGTATAAAAATAGTATTAGGAAGTCTATTAAGAAGTCTATCTAGTAGTTAGGGTAAGTTATTAATAGCAGCTAGATAGATAGTAATAGAGTTATAAATATCTCGATTAATTAATAGGGGGTAAGGCTTAACTACTTAAGACTATAATACTAGAGGTATTACTTTAGTAGAAACTTAGTAGGTAGATATAAAGTCTAGCTCTAAAAGTTAGCCTATATAATCCTTCTTCCTAATAACTTATATTTAGTCGGTATTATTAATAGTATATATATATATAAAACTAATATTAACTATCTATACTAGAATCTTAAACTTATTATTACCTAGCTTAAAAACGAAGTTATAATCCTTTAGTAAAATCGACTTTATAATAATAGGGATCTATACTACCTAGTATAGAGGGACCTTAATTTTAGAAGAAATATAGACTAGTCTTTTACTTATATAGTATAGTTTTACGCAGAAGGTAATAAGAAAAGTCAAGTTTTTATAGGACTTAATAATCGCTTAGGAATATAGGAAATCAAGTATAAACCCTTCTAGTCCTAGAATATCTATACTAATAAGAAGCTAGGTACAGAGGTCCTTAATAATATAGGCCTCGATTTATAGCTCTACAGCTATATCTTTATTTAGGAAGTAAACTTAAATTATAATATAGTAGTTAGATAGGTATTAGGAACCGATCCTACTTATAGAAATTGGGCTAATAGGGTACTAGGGGTATTAGAGTGATACTACTAGCTTTAAATCGATTAAAGTTATAATATATCTAGAGTTAAGGTAGTAAGTATTTAACTTACTAGGGCTTCTAAGTCTAACTATAGCTGTTATATATCGCTAGGATCGAAATATATAGCTAGAGATATAGTCGGTCTATCTAGCCGAGTAGATAATATAATAAGTAGGATTTATAAAATTAGCGATAGCTTTAGCTAGTATAGCGGTAGTAGCTTAAGGCTTATAGCTATTAAGATACTAATATAGCTTAGTATTTAACTTAAAAACCTATAAATAGGATAAATAAGTAACTAAGTACTTACTATTAACTATATATAGTTAGGCCTATACCGGTAGATCAGCCTAGGTTTAAAAACTAGATTAGTAGTTATTATCCTATAAGCTAGTAGGGTTAGTAAAATTCGCACTATATAGGTCCTTATTAGTATAAAAGTTATCCTTAAAATCCTATTAATTATTATTATTAACTAGGATATTATCCTAATATTCCTTTAGGCTATTATTATTAGCTTAGGAGTAGTTATTTAACTAATAATAGTTAGTATCTATATCTATATAATATACCCGCTAAGGTTTATTCTAAATAGTATACTAGGAGTTCCTAGAGCTATTATAGCTAGACTATTAGTAGTTAGGATTATTCTAGGTCTACTAAGCTTAAACTCCCTACTATAGATATTATTATCTCTAAAAGGTTTAGGAGCCTTAGTTGCTTTATACTAGGTTCTAAGGCTAATACTAATAGGACTAATATTAGGCTCCTATAGCTTAATATAGGTACTAAGGAATCTACTAAGCCTAGCCACAGGGCGCTAAAGCCTATTATTATCTATATCTAGCCTAGCTTTAGGATAGACCTTAATAGTCTTAGGCTAGTAAGCGGTTATAGCCATATAGGCGCTAAGGGTAGCCTTAGCGCTAGTCTTATTAGTAATATAGGGCCGAATTATCCTATCGCAGCCTATTATTTCTAAACCTAGTAATTAACTAACTCTAGCGCTTAGTTACTATATCTTTCTAGTCTTAATAGTAGTAATTAAAGCTATTTATAAAAGTGACTAACGAGGTAGTCTTAGTTAGCTCTAGGATATTATAACGAAGTATAGGCTCTAGGTTCTAGCGAATTCGTAATAACTAGTTAAGAATATCTATTATACCTATAGCTTTATATAGGTATAATATACCCTATATATATTCTCTTAGGGTACAGCCTTAGTATATATTATCCTATTCGTATATATATTTATTAAGCTAGAGAAGGGCCTCGGTACAGTTAGGTCTAAAATACCGCGTTATTATAGAAAACCATCTATCCTAAAGTAGAACCTAGTTTATAAGGCATTTTTCATCTATAGTCAGCTCCTACGAATACTATCGGAATATATTACCTTATAGATAGCTATAGATATTCACTCAGATAATAGCTTCTGACTTTAGGAATATTAGATCTATTATATAATCTATAAATATATATATATTAGAGTAGATATAAAGATTTTAGACTATATCCATTCTATCCTTAAAACTCTTTAAAGGATCGAAAATACTAATTTCAGATACTTTCTATAAGGTATTAGTAGTAGCTAATTAGCCTAGGGAACCTTACTTACCCTAGGGACCTTAGTTACCTTAAGGCCCGCGAAGAGTATTAGTATTATTCCGAAGGCTTATCTATATAGCTTTCTCAATAAGCTCTATAAACTATACTATATCGAAACTAGGTAATAGTAGGGAAGCAGCCGGAGTTAGTATATCGCCTATATAGCCAGGACCCTAATTTCTATTATTACAGCTAGGACCCAGACCTCTATTATTTACTATTTTTCGCAGAAGGTCAGAGAGTTTAGCTTCCTATAGTAGGCTCAATAGACCTACTATAGGGCTAGCCTCGCTATTATAAAAACGTAAAGTTAATTATACTCTTAACTATACTAGGGATCGTTCTAGGGTCAGGTATTTAATACCGGCCTTATAAGAGTAGAGGTCCACTTAGTCGTCTTCGGCTTATTCGGTTCCTAGAGACTAGACTTCTACCTAGTTATCTTCCGCTTATTAGTCTTCTAGAGACTAGACTTCCGCTTAGTCGACTTCGGCTTATTAAGACTAGACTTCCGCTTAGTTAACTTCGGCTTATTAGTCTTCTAAAGACTAGACTTCCGCTTAATCGTCCTGTAGAAGGTCTACGTAGCTGTCCTTAGCCTATAGTACAGAATTTTCGTCCTTAGTTCAGAAAAACTTACTATTATAACTATCTAGCTAGGGACTAAAACGAGGCTACCGTCGTATAGTAGCGGGCCTATACGCGTAGCGTATAACAGCAGTAGCTTAGGCAGTCGGTCGGTCTAAAATGGGCGTTAAAGACTAGGGTATAGAAAGGTATATCACAGCAGTAGGTTAGGCAGTCGGTTAGTCTAATATAGACGTCGAAGATTAAGGTATAGAAGCCGGTAAACTAGGAGGCTTACTCGTAGTTCGCTTAGGTCAGGGTCTCCCGAGCGGACACGCAGGCTTACTCGACAGAGGGGTTATAGGACTTAGAACGGCAAGGTAAGACGTCAGACGGAGGAAATCCTTAACGGCCTTGTTAAGTATAGACCTATCGATAGGCCAGGAAGGTGGAAATAGATCCTCTGAAGATGGAAGGATAACAGAAGTGGATGGCGAGGTTGAGGGATTGGCGGGCCCGGTAGGTAAAGGGGTCAGGATAATGATAACGCGGGAAAGTGTATCTGCGTCGAAATCACCTGACCAGGGGCGTGCCTCCTGGCGATAATTGTCGAACTGGATTGCAAGCTAGGTGGCCCGACGAGTACGCTTATCCATGGATTATTATAGTAGCGGCTCGGCACTATGATCGACAGCCTTACCGTAGCGGCTTGGCACTATGATCGACAGCCTTACCGTAGCGGCTTGGCACTGTGATCGACAGCGTGGTCGACCGCCGATCGTGCCAGGCTTGGTGACCTCTGACCTTAGCATACAGGGGAACCCCTGAGGTGGTCGAACTTGTTAAAACAAACCCGAGAGAGATCCTCTCGGAAGAAAAAAAACTCTGGATGAAACCAGGACGTGCTACCATAAATGTGGCAAGTAAGCTTGGTGGGGAAGATGATGATATTATGAACCCCTTGTTGGGGGTGCTAACTAGCTAACTATGACTAAGCTGTGACAGCTTGGGTTGGTATGTTGTTGAATTAGTGTTATTTCAATATACGGCCTTGTTATTATTGTGAATCTGATTATCGAAGTCTTACGTCGTTGACGGCTATATAAGCACCCACTATTCTTGTAGATATAGTTAGGTTTCTTCGTAGAAGAACTAGGATTACTACCTACAATCAATGAAGTTTTTTCTACCAATCCACGTTATGTAACCTCAATTTCATTGAAGGGATTATCCCGAGTATTCATTCTGTAGTGTAGAAACAACCTCGATCTTAAATGTCAAACTTAACCCGTGTAATGCTCAAAACCCGCTTTCATCATCCTCGCATCTAATTAACCTTGAAATATCTCTTTGACGGAAACTTCAAAGTTTACCCTCACTGCACTTCTTGATAATAGCAATAGCCCCGGGAGCCTCGTCCCAAGCTTCATATGTAAAATTCAAAGCCATCTGCATCTGTTCGACGCTCCCGACCGAAAACCTCATAGGCTTAGCGTCCAAATGCTTACCTGGGTTCATCAGGGCCGGCCAGAAATGTGCGTTCAATTTGTGGACATCGTTGTACAAAGCGCGAATTTGCGCCTTTAGTCTCCCGATTTCCACGCGCTTGTCGCAAGTGATGATATTGGGGTTATTGCTGATAGTCGACGGACAGAAGCCGAGTTCCGGCATGTGCGTCATACCATCCGGACGTCCCATGTCTTCCAGGAGCCCCTGCAGCACCTGCAACACCTTGACCTTGACTAAAGTCACGGCCACGAGATGGGGCAGATCGATCCACCTGCCGCAGAAGATATCGACGGGCTCGAGCGGATTGGCGTTCCTGACGTCCAGGTACGGCAGGGTATTGTTACCCCAGTCATAGTCGTCCTGCTGGCCGGTGGTCGCCCACCACTTCAGGAAATCGTAGCACTCCTGGTCCTGCTGGAGGCGGATCATCAGGCTGGGGATGACGTCCCGCGAGCCCATGTTGTCGCCTCGGGAGAGATACAGATTGTCTATCAGGATGTTGAGCTGTTTCTGGAGCGACTCGACATGGTTAACGGCGGTCATGGTATCTGAAAGAGCAGCGCGGTAGCGCATGTAAGGGCGGGTCTCGTGGATCTTCCAGAAATGGCCGATGCCGTAGGTAAAGATATTATCGGGGTGGTCCCGTAGGACCCGTTCTTCATTCTCCATAGTAATGCGACATCTGCGGATTGCGCTACACGCGGACTTGTGCTTCCGGCGGTGCGCGGTCTGGTGTTCGACGCTGCAGTAGAGCATCACTCTGCAGCCGGAGCAGCGGAGAACTCTATCATCCTTGCCGCATACACCACAGCCCGAGGGGAGTGGCATTTTCTTCCTAGCCGCTGCAGAAGAGGGGGATAAGAGCAGTTCGGTGTAGGGGCCGGTAAAGGGTTTCCAGCTCTGTGAATGAAGACCGGAATGCTTAGGGTGTAAATGAGAAAGGGCGCAGAGGGAAGTATTGGGCGATGGGAAATGGAGGAGGTGTTAGGTTATTTATTCTGGACATTCTTTAGGAGTTGATAATGTCTGTCTGCCTTCAAAGCCAGGCCACAATATAGTTAGGCGATAACGTACCCCACCAGGGCAAAACACAGAGCAAACGCGCTAATTTGCAATTTGATATCTCAACGGTTGTTTGAATGGTGTGATCCTTGCAATCTCATTTTTATATTACCTCTCGTCAGCTGAGTGCGTTTCAGGAAAGTTAATATCACAGCGACTGGGTAGAGTGGAGTAGACCACAATGAAGCTTTTACTATAGACTACTCTAAATGCTTATCCATGTCGACGAGCAATGAAATCAAAGCGACATATGGTTAAGATATAGTATTGCATTTCCTGTGCTCTCGATTTTACATCTGCTGATATCCATGGATGGACGTGAGACATGCGGCATCGTTGCTATCCACTATTCCAAGAATAGCTCGCACGAAGCATAGACGTTTAATATGAAAACCCTACCTAGACTAGCATCTTTCCCATCTAGCCCTTTGACAAAGTACACCACCTTCGCATTCCTTCACATTCCTTCACTTCCAGTTCCTGTGCCAACGCCTTTGGCCAGCAGTCCAAAACCTTATCGCACTGGTTTCTTGCCACTGACAGCATTACTGCATTACTTCATTGTGCTCACAGGCGCATGTGCATACATATGCAGGGAAACAATAGTCCAAACCTTGCCTCTAAACACACAGCACCCAGTTCAAGGACGAGCAGAACCGATATAATCACACCAACGGTCACGCTTCGAAGAAAAAAAAAAGTCGAAGATCGACGGATCACCCTGTGGCAGGGCCGCGCAAATCCAACTGGCGGTCTGAATCCACGACCTCCCCCCACTCCTGGCGTCGTCAAATCAGCTGACAGCCTCAACCCACCAGCCACACTAGATCAGCACTAGTATCCGTATCGGTGTGCATCGGACACGTTCGATGTGAAAGGCGGTCGGACGGAGACTGAGCTTATTAAACCGATACTGCTGATTAATGTGATTATCAACGAGGTTAGGGCTCTCATTGGTCGCGGACAGGAACATTGTAAAGTTTGTCGGCGATTAGGTTTCTCAGTCTGGAGTTTCGGGCCCGAGGGCTGCGGGGAGACTGCCGAGAAGTATATGCGGTAGACAACATAACATGCGGTATGGACTTGGCCAAGTGAATCCTTGTCGTGGCGATGGGGCAGGTAGTGGGGGGATGGCCTTAGCCCCGGTCTAGTGTTGTAGAGATTTCATCGTCGAATGTTATATCAAGAGAACAGTCCTGGGCTAGACTTCATTCCTATAGTAGAAATGTACCAGACTCTTTAACTCTCATCTTCATAACAAGCTTGATCATGTTCTACTTCTTGCTAGGCAGTGCGGTGGCCTATAACCTAGTCATGGTTATCTACCGGCTTCATTTCCACAAGCTCAGTAGGTTCCCGGGGCCTCGTCTCGCGGCCGCAAGCGGGCTGTACGAGATCTACTTTTCGGTCTGGGGTCCGGGCATTTTCGACCACGAGATTGACCTCATGCACCGGAAGTTTGGTACGCTGTGTCTGGTATCTCCGGGGAAAGATATTGGATCTGATACTTTCTAGGTCCGGTTGTTCGTATTACTCCCGATGAAATCCACATCCAAGAGCCTTCCAGCTATTCCGACGGTTGGATCAAAGGTACGGAGGAGGTGGAACCTGGCTACCAAGGACGCAGCGTCCATAGTTTCCAGTACAAGAGACCGTCTATCGCCCGGGTGCGATCTCTACTTTGGGCGAAAGTCAATGATATGATCAACCCCTTGATCGAGAAACACCATGTGGATAGAATGCTTAGCGCAAGGCCTCGACTATTTCTTATCTGTCCTTGGAGTAAGAAGAAAGTTCAGTCAATTGGAGAAAGCGAAAGTGAAGACGGAGGAGCTCGTTCTTTGCAGTGTTAAGTTTGACTCCAACTCTTGGACATCTCAATTCTCCGAGTCGCATCCGACGTCTGGTTGGAGGTGGAGTCGACCAATTGATTCCATTGCATAGTGGAAGATCTGAGAGTTGAGCTCGCACACGGTTAACCCCGCGAGATTGTGGAGTTTGGCCTTTCTTGGCTCTCCGTCGAGGCGAATGGACGGCAGTTCCCACCAACGGCCATGTTTCCATCCACAATCCGGCATATACCACAATTCGGGGTTTGTCGGGGTTAAAAAAAAACACAAAGAACAAGAGGCAATTCCGGAAGAAGGCCAAGAAAAGATCCAAAGGACAACGAAAGCCTTTTTTTCGAGCTGAACGTCTTGGAAGAGCCCCGCTTCGGCGATTCTGCCATTTTTAAAGAAAAAAACGCCAGCAAGCCACTTGGTCAATTCCTCTCCATTTTATTCTCATCTCCTCTCTACACTGCACATACATCTCTGCACATACATCCTACACCTATTAAATCATCATGGTATGTTGCCGAACTTCCTGACTCTAGAACACCGAAGACCCTGCAGATCCCAAGGAGCTAACAAACATCAACAGCCTCACGCCGACTCCTCCTATTTCACTCCCGGCAGCTCCAAGGCCGAAATATACGAACAGCTCCTGCTGTCCACACAAGGTCTCCTAGACGGCCAACGGAATTGGGTTAGGTGAGTCAGCTCCAACAACCCTCGAAACCTTACAACCTCTAACAACCAACAGCAACCTCTCCAACGTCGCCTCCCTCCTCTGGCACGCCTACGGCTCCCTCCCAGCCCCCTCCTCAGCCGTCAACTGGGCCGGCTTCTACATCCGCGACGACAAATTCCCCGCCCTCGCCTCGCCCGTCTCCTCGCCGCCCTTACCAGGCGCACCCGGGTACGGCGGCGTCATCATCTCAACTACATACTCCTGCTCGGGCGATCAGATCCTGCTCCTCGGGCCGTTCCAGGGAAAGCCCGCGTGCCAGGAGATCAAGTTCGGGAAGGGCGTTTGCGGCACGGCGGCTGCGAAGCAGGAGACTGTTGTCGTGCCTGATGTGCTGACTTTCCCGGGGCATATTGCGTGCGATGCGGAGAGTCGGAGTGAGATTGTGGTGCCTATTTTGGTGAATGGTGAGGTTAGTACTTTTTCCACTTCCTGGTGGGGTTGGGCACAAGCGGGTTTTGGGCAATAATATATATACTAACGTTCTCATTTTAGACGGTCGCTATTATTGATATCGACTGCACTGAGCCTTCTGGGTTTGATGATGTGGATAAGGAGTACTTGGAGAAATTGGCTGCTTTGTTGGCTGAGCACTGCGATTGGTAAAAGTTAACATAATTTTGTTTTTATAATGGTTACGACAGATACGGACTTGGGTGAATGATATTGTACGTTTTATGATCGTGATTTCTTCCTACGTAGATTCTGCAACATGCTCTGCTGTAGTTTACTCCTTCCTTTAAAATGTACGGAGTTGATATCTTCCGTGTATCTTTACATTGACAGTATGGAATAGGATTGAAAGTCCTGCTGTATTGTATTGTATGCGCAAGTTTATTCGTCGCGAGGATTGAAAATGTAATGCAAACCAGCAAGCCGAAATATAAAACGATACTCGACCTGCTCGAGATATGTCGGAAACAATAGATACAATGCAGACCAAACACCGAGCGAACTCATCACGCTGGGTGGAGAAATGAAAAGAGAAAACGCCGAGACCGAGACGGTAAAAAAGGTATAGAGCACAAGGAAATCGAAAATCGCTAACATGCACAAGAACATCACATATTGAGCAAGCTCATTTGCCGACGCATGGGACTCGGCGACAGAGCATCCCCGTCTTCGCTGGGACCGATGCCGCTGTCTGGACCAGCGAGCACGGTGTCCATGTCGATGTCCCACTGTTCGTCTTCATTGGGATCAGTGTTCACTTCCGCCTCGGCTTCGCCGCCATCCCAGCTCTTCTGGACCGCGCCGCGCGTGTTCCAGCGCAGAGCACGCTGGACGCTGATGAACCACTCGTTGTTGTTGGACACGACGGTCGGGAATGGGTACTGGCTGGCTTCGACAGTGACGTAGTCGCCCTGGCGGAGTTCGACACGGCCCTTGCCATCAAAGGAGCAGTAAGCGGTGGATCGGGAGGATTTAGGGACGGCAATGCGGAGAAGGTGGGAGTCGGAGAGAACCATTGGGCGGAAGGAGAGGGTGTGTGGGCATATTGGGGTGAGAAGGATACCCGGGATGGATGGATGCATAAGAGATCCGCCGGCGGACAGAGAATATGCCGTGGAACCAGTCGGCGTCGAGAAGATACAGCCGTCTGCTTGGACGACTGTTAGCAGCTCGTCGTCGGCGTAGAGCTCCAGGTTCGACACGTAGGGGGACGGGCCGCGGTCGATGACGAGCTCGTTCAGTACTTCGAATTGCTCGCCCTCTTCGACAGCGCCCAGCTCTGCTCCCTTGCTCCGGTCTTTCCGATATACGGTGCATGTGAACCGCATGCGCAGATTGACGCGCATGCCCACCTCGCCCATAACGGCATTAAGCTGCGATTTGTAATCGGCAAACTCGAAATTTGTGAGGAAGCCCAGGCTGCCCAGCGAAAAGCAGAGCACGGGCGGAACCACGCGCTGGAAGAGCCACGATGTGAAAAGAACGGTACCATCACCACCAAGGGTCAGCACCAAGTCGAACTTATCGGGCGATGTCCAGCACAGATCCGGTGTCCAGAAATGTAACATCTGCGCAAACATCGGGTCTTTCTGCAACAGCCCCGGGGCATCAAATCGCTTCGAATTGCGCAGCTTCGCATCTACATAGACATTGACTCCTAGTTCACTTCCGTATCTTGCGGTCGAAAGTAGCCACTCCGCAACTTCCCGGGTCAAGAGCACCAGGCTGTTATCACGCGCCTTAGTAACAATCATGACATTTCGCACCGCTCGCTTGATAGGTCGTCGCTGTAGTTGCTTCGACACTTCACGAACACCAGTCGCTGTCTGAACCAGTCGCGAATGCGACAGCCACTCGTCGTCGGCGATTTCCTCCAACACCTTTTTTATGTTGACAGCATCATCGAAGCGTTGGTGGAAATAGCATGGCGATTGTAGTATCAGACGAGCCGCGGCAGGTGAACGATCGAGATATCCGCTCAATTGAAAATTCGATAGCGCAGTCGAGATGTTCTGGGGGGAGTCATTGCTCCCCCGCCGTGGTCGGTTCTCCGAAGGCGGGGAAGTCTGAGCGGATTTATTCGCGAGCATACTCGACACAGAACCGGACATATCGGTATTATTGGTGATAATCGTAGCCCGCGAGGCCAGGGCTTTCAAGATTGTCTGTCGCGGTATGCAGTCGGTGGACAACGCTTTCTTCGATCGCCGGCTAGTCGACTTCCGAAACTGCTGTAGTGTTGAGTAAGGCAGCGACAAGGCGGCTTCCTGAACCGATTCGGATACGTGTATAGGTAGCACGTTGTCGGGTCCAGGGAGATCTGGCTTGGTCTGGGACAAGGATTCTATGCTGAGGGCATCTCGGAGGAGCGCCGGTCTGGGTGGGGACGATAGAGAGGGGGGAGACGTTCGCGCTGTAGACAGACTCGGGAGTGTGTCAGACCGTAGATGATCACGGCTGGACGCCATCGGCTTATGCGGCAGGTAAATAAGATGGGATAATCAGGAAAAGTGCTCGGATGTAACGGGGTTTGCGGATCCGAAGTCTTGAGATGCTGTCCCCCGTCAGTCGTGGACCCAGGTATTGCTTCTAGCGTATTCCACACTCTTTTTTGGGTTTTTTCAGGGGGGATTCCTTTTCTTATTTGGTATAATAACGACAAGGATGATGGACTGGAGTGGGTTGGGATTAGGGTAGAGATTGACAAGAATTGGGATTGGCAAGGCACATCCAAGAAAAATGGGATTCCTGTTTAGGAAGACCACGGACCTCGATCATCACATTAAAACACGAGATTATTTAGATTGCTTCCTGCGATTCCCAGATTCCCCAGATAATCCTCTCACTGGCGAGTCTACTAGTCATCGCCAAATCCGTACAGGCGCGCAGTGCGCGCAGATAATGACGTTTACACTGTCATATCAATCTATCGGCAATAGGAGGCTCGTTAGGATGCTCATAGATCATGATAGGTATTTTATTTCTTTGGATCTTCCATTCTCCGTGCTACTTTGTGCATTCTTTGCCAGAATGTCGGTTAAACATGTATTCCTCAACCCCGACTCGAAGTGGGCATAGCCATCATTCTGACTGCGCCTGGGAGTCTGTGGTTCTGTCACCGCTAAATCACTTGGCAAGTGAGTGACCAAACGTCATCAAAAGCAGACAGGGTCCGGAATCCAACAATTGAGGAACCCGAGAACAAGCCTCACGCAAGGCTGTCGCCTGTGGCAGTGAATGAAGCGTGTTGTACATGCAGCGGCAGTCAGGTGACGGTGCCTTAACCGGGTGGTACTCTATCCACTGTTTTGTGGCACCGTCGTATCCTAGTCGAGAGGGGCGATATAGCGAGTGCTGGGAAGTCATGTGCACAAGAGAAGGGGCCCAGGGGTGACCGCGACCTTACACACGTCTCACTAACTCTCCGCAAATTTGCCGGGCGCAATCCACCTCAGATAGAATCCAGCTTGTAGGCGTAGTCGCTGTAGATCTGGTCCTCCACGGTCTCCCGGATGAAACCGCTCACACTGGCGCTGGCCGTTCCTTCACCCATGGCAACGTCGCCATCAGCGCTGGCGGTGGTCTCGCCCTGGCAAATGGAGAGCGCGCGCTCACGGACATATTCCCAGGTATCAAATCCAAACCGACCCTCGCTTTCGTTGAGGAGAAGGTGGTTCTTCGAGGAGAAGGCAAAAACGTGGAGGGACACAGCAGCCTTGGCGGCAGTCGGAGAGGGGTCCCGCACAATATCACCATCCTCAGTTACACCAAGGAGGGTCGCGGAGAAAGTCATCGACAGAGGAACCGAGGCGGAGATCATAGCGAGCAAGCCAGTATGTAGGAGAGCCGGGAGGATAGTAAGGTACTAGATAGATCAGTCTGACAGTTCAACAAGCAGGGCGAATGGAATCTGAGATACTCACATTGTCACCGCGTGCCACGTTCTCTCCTCCAACAATAGCCAGAGTAATGACCACGCCGCGACGGGGAAAGCCCTTCTCCCGTCCAAGGACGATTTTCCCTAGCACAGACCGCAGGATTCCTTCGATATATCTTTCACCGACGCCACCAGTTGTCGTACCAGGTTTGACAAAGACCTCCACAGTGGCTTCCTCGGGCTTCAATGCGTCACGGCGTGCTGGGAGCTCAATGGGCCCGTTGACAGCGCCCAGAATGCTGTAACCGGTGGCTGGGCATTTGTATGACGCCGAACCATCGGAACGATGTAATTGTGAGAGGGATGCTATCGGACCGACCATATTGACGATGGACAGATAGAAAGATAGAAAATTAGGAAGCCAAAGTTGTGTTTGAAGAGCAAAGTAGCAAAGTTGTTCTGCCACTGCGATTTTTCATGTGCGGGCCGCTTCTTGATTGGCCGCCTTAGCTGCGATTGTACTTGGTACTTTGTTTGTCGCTGGACCATGATATATTTCTGAGGTATCGACTACTTTGAGGTGTCAACTAAATTGTTGCTTTCTTTCCCTTATCCCTACTATTCTTACTATTCACCTCCAGACTACAGATCCATTTGATCCGTCAAGTGGTCTGAGACTTATTGGAGTTTCAATCAACCTCTCGAAGATAACCATGTCTTCTCATACGAGCACTTACTACTGTCCACCATGACAACCAAATATGTGCTGTGGGTAAACCAACGGAAATTGCTCTTCATGTTCTAGCTTCGTGCTTTTGATTTTTGAAAGACATTGTGAGCAAAAGGCAACTTCAATCGCATACAGAATATCCATTGATTCTGCCATCACAAGGATGACCGTTGTCTATACAATTCACAACATAGAATCAGAGGTACACCATTATTCCTCATCTCGATATTGATGAAACAGAAAACCAAACCCACGAGACACGGCCGATCGGATGGCGGGCAAGGACTTTGCGTGCTATGCATAGTATACAAGATACCTCTGGCCGATGATGAGTCTTGAATATCCCCGCGAAGTCCTGCGTAACCAGGCCTACGATTTGAGGGCCTCGCCTTGATATCGTTTTAGCAGAACTACTCATTTGATCCCCGTACAGTCTTAAGGAGCTCATCTGACCCATTCCCATTCGGGGTGTCCCTATTACTTCCCAGGCTCCAGAGCGTCCACCTCCCTTTCTACCATTGGGCAGTTGTTAGTTCCTTCTCGATTGCCAGGATCTGGTAAGAATTGTAGGCTCCTGATCCTTCCAGGATGTATTCGTGATGAACCTGTAGCCACCGCGTAGAATTTGGGCCAGTAGAACGTTCATATCCTCCTGCTTTTGCGCCTCGGAGGTAGGTTCCGACCCCTTCCTGGGTGATACTTTGTCGGGCAGCCTCCTGACGGATCGCCTCTTTCTCAAATTTCTCGAGATGAATCTATAAGGGTCCGTTTGTCAGATGTAATTTGTACTGGAGGTCGAACCGGCACGCCTGATTGCGAGCTCGCTCCTCCTCTTCGCGTGCGGACCGAGGCAGTAGCCGTGAGCGTTTGATGTGCTTATGGACCTTTCCTTTAGGTGAGATCGATGGAGTTGGTCCCTCTAGATCAGGATGAACCGATCCGGCGCGATAGCAACCGATCCTGTCTCATTACGGAAGATGGTGTCAATGATTTACCTGCTCTCAAAAGGGCTGATGTTGGTATTGCTATGGGCAAAATAGAGGCTGCCGGTATGGTTTTGACGATCTGAGATACCAAATCCTTCTCGGTCTTCCACCTCCTATGCATTGGGAGGGGCCTTACTCTAGAGGATGCTGAGATGCGGGCAAGATTGGTAATTCTTACGCGTCTATCACTTAGTACTAACGCGAGCATGGAACTGAAGTGATCTAGGAATATTTTGGCTAACTATCTAACACCAAGTTGGTCATGAATTGCTACCTGTAAGGCGTTCAACGTGCTCTTCTTATTCATTCATTTTCTCGTCTATATCTATTTTTCCAGCATGAAATCATTTCATATGTCTTTAACTAGCATGTAATTTCGCCGGGACTTAATATTTCATACCCTAAAATGAAATGAACATGGCAATAAATCTAATGACATCTGAGAAGTCTTGAGGCAGTCCACGTTCAATGTCAACTACTAAGCAGGTCATCGTGCTAGGCACCTACATAGCCCCGGAGTGCGTGTCCATTTATAGCTTGCCAATGATTTACTGATCAACCTATTCTTACTCTCGAATCCCAGTCCGTCTATCCCGTCAAGGACACCAATTATCTCTCCAGGTATCAGACAAGGCTACGTATGTTTTATGTCTCCACGCATGTTTTTTTCCCTAAACCTAATGCAGACACAGTGATCCAATTGGCCATTGGCCTGACCTCGGGGAGCTACCCCAGTTGCCGATGTCAATATCAACTATCAACCTGGAGTGGGGTAAAGACCGTTATGAAGAATTTACGTTTAGTCAACGTTAAATGATCAGTTTTGATCTGCTTCCCGAGATGTGTTTGAACAAAGGTTCGATTTAGAATCATCGCAATTGGTTTGGAACTAGTCTGAGCTGGCAAGAGAACAGTTAGTTGGAAGTGGGATTTGATGCGAGGATGCTAGGGGCCCCCTGTACGAAACGCAGGAGGATGGCTCGATTAGTAATTAGATTTGAGATAACGAAGGAGGGGCAGGTGACAAGTGGGCAATTCAAGGCTGTTTTAGGAAGATTCTACATTGACAATGTCAATTTCAACTAATGTTAATGGGAACATACGACTTGGATGCAGGGATAAATCAAACTCGTTTCAACAATGTGGGAATAATAACCATGGCTTCGTGTTTCCCTAATCATCCGGTAGACAGCTAGTAGTGTCTTATTCAAGGGGTCTCGGAGACATTGTAGACCAGCTTCTCGCCGCTGACCTTGCCCTCCTTGAGCAGCTTTAGACCCTCGATCACACCCTTCAGTCCATGCTCGCCGACCTTGGTGGGGTGGGCCTTAATCTTTCCTTGGGCGAGCAGATCCTCGACAATGGGAATGAACTTCTCAGCGTGAGCCTTGTCCTCCGGCTTGGCGGGGATCGGCGTATCACCGAAGGAGAATGCCTCGCCGATAGTGGTATAAGCCAGGGTGTAGCGGTCGTTCACATTGGCACGGTTAATCTTGACGCTCAGCAAAGAGCTGTACTCGCCGCCATCGGTAGAGATAGCATTGTCGCAAAACGCAGCGCTGGAGTCGAGCGAGATACAGTCAAACACGAGCTTCAGGTTGTTATCAGTATCCTTGCGAATTTTAGCGGGGGCTTGCGGGTCCTTGTAGTCATAGACATCATCGGCGCCTAGGCTGCGGACCAAATCGAAGTGGTGCGGCGAGCAAGTGGTCAGGACCTTGTAGCCCGACAGCTTGGCAAACTGGATAGCCAGGGTACCGGTCGCGGTGGAGCCGCCGTAGATCAGAATGGGAGTGGCATCCTTGATGGGGTCGGTGGGAAGGGCAAGCTTCAGACTCTGGTACAGGCCCTGGCCCACGGTGTTGATGCCCACACCGAGGGTGGCGGCCTCTTGGAAGCTGATATTCTCGGGTATCTTCCACTGCAAGTCGCCCTTGGCGACGATGTACTCGGCGAAAGTGCCGTCCTCGGGCTGCACTGCATTGGAGCCGTGCACGAAGCCACATACGCGGTCACCCTTTTTGAAATCCTTTTTGACATCCTTGCCCACGGCCTCAACGGTGCCTGAATAGTCGCATCCGACGAGAACACCGGGAGGAGAAAGGTAGGCAACGTGCTTCCAGTCGGTGGGGTTCAAGCCCACACTGACGGTCTTGACGAGTAGATAGTCATCGCGAAGCTTGGGGATGGGTCGATCAGTGACCAGACCCTCGGTCTTGGGCTGAGCGATGATGACTGCCTTCATGATGGGTAGTTGATTGCGGAGCGAAGCGAAGCAATTATATAGAATGCAGTTGAGAAGAGGGAATTTGGAGAATTGGGAGGATATAGAGTGTGTGTTAGTTAAATAGTGCTCTGATTATAAATGCTCTGATTACAAACCTGAAGTATGACGAAAGGCAATCACTGATCGTCACAAATATTGTACCGACTCCGTCTCAGTCTATCCGCCATCCTCTCTACACAGCCCTTGGTGAACAGCGTTGCCCCTGGAACAGTTCATTGTTTTATTGTTGTGCCACACATGCCAGATCAAGACGCTACACAGCTTTTACGGGAGAACCCCCATGAAATTGGGCATCTTTCGATTCAGGCCTTTGATACTCTGCCTTGGTTCAGTCTCTTGACCGGTCTTCGATATTGCACAGGGATCATTGACATGAACACGAGTCGTGCAGCCAAGATTGGACGCATTCAGGGTGTTCATATTGCGTCATCCATTCCCTAAAACGAAGGATGGCTTTGGCATATATGAAAGAAACATGTATATACCGTAGCCCAATGGTCTATTCTTGATAGAGGAATGGTCGACTTTTTAATATAATATTTGCACCAATAGGCACATTCAACGAGCTTGCTATCAAAATCGGTTAACTGCAATCCGATTTAGGAATCAAGTGCCAGAAAGACATATACCAGGCATTGATAGATGAAGCAGACCGAGAGACAAACTACCAGCCGATGAAGACCATATCTTCCAGTCTCTCGAGATTTTATATTGAGATGTCTGACGCCAGTATAAGTATGAGGTAATGAGGTTCGCTAGCTAGCGCAAGGGGTATCAGCCAAGACCACGAGCAAAAACAGGGTTCACGCAATTTGAGAAAAACCATCAGACGTATATATAGCTATTCGAGTCCAAACCAACGGATTCGCCGTCTTCGAATCTCCATTCAGGACAAGACGTCGGGGGTTGGGATATCGCGGGGTCAGACCGTCAAAGTCGGTTAGTGTACGTTAGTGCTTATCTGCATAGACGACCCCTCCTCGACAGAATTCCTCCCAGACTTCTATTTCAACTTCAAGAAAAAGACAATCATGAAGGTTCTCTGTCTCCACGGAAAAGGGACCAGTGGCGCTATCTTCCGCTCCCAGATCTGTTAGCTCCCCCGCAGTCCCAAACCAACTCTCCAACTAACCGCGCCCAGCCACGTTCCGCTCCAAACTCCCCAATGACATCCAATTTGATTTCATCGATGGCCCATTTAAGAGTGACCCGGCGGCAGGCATAGATATCTTCTACAGTCCGCCGTACTACTCCTTCTGGGAAAATGATAGCGTCGAATCCGTCCGAGCCTCCTACAACTGGCTGACTGAGCACATCGCCAAGAACGGCCCATACGATCTAGCGCTCATGTTCTCGCAGGGCTGCGTGCTAGGCTCCAGTGCTCTCCTCTTCCACCAGGAAGAAACACCGCATCTCCCGCCGCCGTTCAAAGCGGCGGTTTTTATCTGCGGTGGCGCCTCGTTGAGCGTGCTGGAGGAGATGGGCTTCCATGTTTCGGCCGAGGCGCGCGATCGGGATCTTGCATCCCGGGCTGCGCTGGCTCAACAGGCGGGCTCGTCGGCGCTCTTGGCTCAGGGTGCGGATCGCTGGACTGGGCTTCAGACGGTAAACGGCGGGCTCTCGGAGGATGAAGTGCGGAAGGAGATTACTAGTCCCTACCGCATTAATATTCCCACGGTGCATATTTACGGCTCGAAGGATCCGCGCTGGGCGGCTGGTGTGCACCTTTCCGGTATCTGCGAACCGACGAAACGTCGCACCTATGATCATGGTGGTGGACATGAAATTCCTCGGACGGCTGCTGTGAGTAACTCGATCGCGGAACTTTTCAAGTGGGCTGCTGCACAAAGTGAAAGTGGAATTCAGTGAGGAGTGAATTATATTATGTCACACTTTATTTTTTTCAATAGATGAGATAGATTATAAGTGGAAATGTAAAGTTCGGCAAATTGTATTCTCTCGAGAGGTAGCGTGGGCTTGAACTAAGATATGAGAGGGCAGAGAGATCGACAAGACCCAATATTTGGCTCCACTTGCCAGCCTTGGTATTCCCTTGCCTCGTGTATATATGTACTCATCATATCCATCTCCAACACTCCCTATTAATAGATTCAACTCGATCGGTAAGAGATTTCTAAGGTTAGCCCTAATTCAGCCACGCTAGCCAATTCCGGCCCACTCGAAATTTCACCCTCTGCCCATATTCCGCAAAAGAAAACGAATTGCCAATATCCATCATGTCATGGGATGAAACGCTCAAGCTCACGCAGGCCGATGAGTCCGAGGAGTTCAAGTTGTTCGAGGCGGTTGTCAACGGGGATGTCACGGTCGAGGATGCCGTGCAATGGGTCATCACCACGACAATGGACAGACTGGAAGACTACGGGCCGGGAGGAAGCATCGAGAAAGCCGACGCCGTAACGTTCATAGCTATCATCGAGCTGGCTATGCAAATCGATACAACCCAGTATGGACCGCTGGTTGAGTTCCTGGGAGAATTGAAGCTGTACAACGCCGTTGATTCGTCAACGGGCTTGATCCTAAAAACACAAGATGGAAGCAGAGTCTGGTCACATCTGCCGTCGCTGAATTTCTGGGTCGCCGAAATATGGACAGACCGGATGACACGTAAGCGAAAGCGAAAGCGAAACTGTTTCTGTACTTTTCTTCTGTAGTGCTGACCTGTCGATTCGCAGAAATCTGTGACCCGGATATGGAACCCGATCAGCAGATCAGATGGGCGAAGCTCAATATCTTCCTCGCGCAAGTGACGCAGGCGGCTGAGGTTGAGTATACTTCCCTGCAGGTGTCGATCAGCGATGCTATGGATGTATCGCACATGGCACTCTGTGGACTGCGTCATGTGTTCGAAGAGCGCATTCCTTCTGAACATATTGCCTCGACGGCGGGTCTGCTCGGTGTGTGCTACTGGCTAATCTGTGCCGGTGATAGACTCTGGGAGAATGTACTCAACGGCCGCAAATACAACAGATATGATGGTCGACCGGGAGAATTGTATTCAGATCGCGGGTGGAAGGGCTTTGAACGCGAAAGATGGGATATATGGGTGCAGGGTCTTCGTGACGCGAAGGCCGCTTGCAGACCGGGCAAGGAACTCGTGGAAGATTTGATAGACCGGGCTCTGTCCAAAATAGAGCGTGTAATGAGTAATGAAATACCATCCAATTAAGCATTTACAAAATACTACGTTGTAATAATGTACACGTCGGTTTCGAAAACAAACATTCAAACCGGTTTATGACCGATTCTTAAACCTCACAGGGTATTGATTAGAGTTCAAACATTATATATAGAAAGACGCCAAACACAAGCTATCTAGAAACACAAGTCACTACCATGAAAAAGTCTCTTCAAACAGATCAACCGTCTTCTCCCCTTGTACATTCCTAACAGCCTCCCGCACACTATCACCCAGGCCACCAGGACCGCAAACGCTAACCGCCATCGCACCGATCTGGTCTTCTTTTTCTTTCTCTAGCACGGATTGCATACACGGCTTACCGTGGTGGATGCTGACCGGCACGCCAGGCGGAGCACATTGCATCCACAGCGAATCTGGCTGAGGGACATATTCCTCGACAGCATCCTTGTGTGATGTGATGTGGAGGCTGATGGACAGGAGGAGGCGTGGGAATTGGAAGAAGGAGTGCCCGTTCGAGTTTATTGGGCTTAGGGATTCGTGCCCTAGTATTTCGGCCATGAATGTTTGGATCCATGCGAGATGGTCTTTCCATATGTTAGTGGGCGATTATTTATGTGGAACGGGTGGGCCTGATCATACCGAGACTGCGGACGATCCAAACTAGATGCACTTTGCGGGTAGCTGTCTTTTGCTCCGTGAACGTGGCGATAACTTCATTCAAATATGACATCGGGTGGGTAATGCCGATTCCTCCGGCTATCAATAGGAGAGTACCGTATGAGGTGAGAGAATGGATACCACCTGTGAGATGTTAAACATGTTTCAAATATCAACAACCAATGGGTAGGAATCCATACCAAATGGCCCCTCCGCCAACGCCATAGCCTGAATCCGTCCCTCGGCGGAGGCTTCTGCCTTCTGGAGCAACTTTTTCGTGAATCCGTCTTGACCCTTGATTAGAACAGACATGGTTGTCGTCGCCGAGGCTCCAGTAAGAGCATCCATAGAGCCACCCGAGCCGCGCTTCTCGTTCGTATTCAACGAACCCGTTGACGACCACGCAACCGTAAAGGGATGCGAAGTCCACAAGCCCAGACACGGCATGTAGAGGTACATATACTGCCCAGGCCGGAAACGCCATGCGCGAGCCACGGCCACATCAACACGAGCAACTGACCCAGACAGAACCTCGACGGTAGCAGTTGTAGGACGCGAGCTGAGATTTCTCCAAAGCAATATCCCAAGTCGACCTGCACGATCCAGACCCCACAGGATCAAGGTGCAAAGCAGCACACGCTGTTGCAGTAGGTTTTGCAGGTGATACCAGAGCGCCACGAAGGAAAATACAGCCAGGGCTATGTGCAGGTGAAGAAATAGTTCGTAAAAAGCATGTCGGGCCGGCGACAGAGATTGAACGAAAATAAAAAGGAATCCAATGATGGCCTACGGAGATATATGTTAGATGGCCATGTGAAGTGCTGGTGGGCTGCATCACATACCAGAAGGCCGCATATAAAAAGCTTCTTCTGCCAAATAACATATAGAACATAGTCCGTGCCATCTGAGTTCAAGGTTTCATGTTAGCGAATGATAGCCGTATATGTGCAAGGCCACTCACGTGTAGAAGCCTTGTCAGCCAACACGGCGCTCATGTGGATGACGGCGTTGGCTGTGATCACCCGTCCCACCCAACGATGCATGAAATTAAACGTATCGAACGAGATCCCCAACAGCTGGACTAAAGGATTGTTGCGTCCTGCGCCTAGGACCAAGCCCGGCGTATTCATGACGGCCAGATGGCCCGCGGCGTACTTAAGCTGGAACATCTTCTTGGAGTAATCACTGAGCCACCAATCGACTGTCACAAGAATGAAGATTATGTTCAAGCTGATATAGATCAGCAAGCAAATCACTTCCAATCGTAGCGGAAGAGATCCCATATGAAGCCTCAAGAAGCGGAATTCGCGACTATGGCGATTGCCCCATATCGGGGCATACAGCAGATGCCTTTTCAGGGCCGCCTTGAACCGACTTGTCTGGCACAGCTGTGTCTGGTCGCTTCCTTGCCGTGCAGCCTTTGATCGTCGACGATGGCTGATGCGAATGACAGTCTTCCAGACGAATAAAAAAGCTATCAGTCCGCCGACAACAAACAGAGGGACCGCAATCGTGGGGTTCATAGGCGGCTCCCCCCGGCCATTTCCTTTGAGTTCCACACCCATCGTGCCATTAAACAGGCAAGGGGAGCTCAAGGTCAGGTCCACAGGCACAGGGATCGTCGATCGTCAACCACAATGAACAGAGTTTTAACCCTCAAGGATTCAAGACCAAGAAAGGGAGGACACAAGGTTTAAACGGGATAGTGTTATAAAGGATACTCGGGTCGCGTGGGGAAAAAGGAAGACGTGGGCATCATTGGCGTTGTATTAGTTTCCATACCAGCTATAGACACATGCCGTCATTGACCGCTGGAGGCCCCGCAAGTTTATTTTCTGTGAAGACGGACGAACCCACCCTCACGTTTACAAGGCAAGCGTAGACAATTGTCTCACATGGCCAGTGTAACGTCGAAACGGGCGAAACGGATCTTGGCAACGCTAATTCTATTCTGAGTGGAGATGATGGACGAGGCTGAGTGGTGAGGAATTCCAAATATCAGGGAAGTGCCCTGTCATGACCAAATCGAAGGGCATGTGGACCTCGACATAGTGTGGCGGACTGTGTAATCTTTGCATGTTTGGGTGTTCTAAGAACACGGGGATAGGCGTGGAGACGGAGCCGCTACTGTTCGGCAATCCGGAAACGGAATGTTGATACCTGCACTGCTGTCACTTTCAGCATTCCTCGTCCCAATCAGTCATGAGATAGGAACAAAGAGATGAGAAATTCAAAACTAACCATTTTGGTTCCTAGAGAGAGTTAATTTCGCTTGATCTTTGTAGAGCAATTGTCTGAATCCTCAATAGCAAGATGCTTAACGTAGACTCGAACCCCGGACACTCGGTCCAGTGGGATGCAACTGCAACATTAGAGACAATGGTCAAGTTAGAGGAAGCTGTAGCGTAGTAGTCTTGGAACCTTATATATATGACGCCATAGTACACTATGGTCAGACTTGCAGGCGCAAAGACTTCTGAATTGGTTCAAGAGATTCTAGGTAGAGGTCCGTGTGTTTAGAATGACACCAGATGGACAATTACCAAACGACTTCTTTCGGCCTCCATGCCCAGTCAGTGAGCTCCATTAAGCCAAGTCTCGCAAGCATCGCTAAGCATTCCGCTTCAGGGTAAGTTGACGGTCGTAGCGGGGCTGCCCCAGGAAAACTGAGTATGTCACGATGTGTAAGAGAAAGGAACATGATCATGATCATGATCTTCACGGAATATTTCAGATGAGTCAAAGTTCAGTACCTAGTGGCGTGACTACAGAGTCCAGACTACAGGTCAGGAGTCAGGAGGTCCACGGCAATGAGATTGGTGGCCTTGGCGTCCTGGCGAAATAAAGTTGATGCCTTACATTCCAGTTTCGTTGCATACTACTTAGTGCACTGTTTCCAGCACTCAAATGATGAGGCTTATCTCTCTAATGTACTATTAAACCACCGAAGCTGATACAGGCAAAGGGCGACGGGCGAAGTTGGTAATTGTCTTTTCTACTTCTGTTACATCCTGAGGTCCTCAGGTCTAGATTGCTCCAAACATATATAAATACCACATAGTACATACCAAAACGGGATAACTAAACGGTGTGATACCGGAATCATCAGATCCCTTGAGCTGTGACCTCTATGGTGGCTATGGCATGCCGACAATGGATTGTTGCATGTCAGAAAGGAGACAACTTGGAAACATACGCAAATCTCGCTGTTCTTGTAGAGCCATCCCCTGTAAAAACTGATTCCTGAGAACAGGCTGAATGCAGAATTGTTCTATTAGGAGCCTAGGCTCTATAGACCAGAGATCTTCTATTCATACAGCACAAATGGATTCATTCAAATATCAATTATCAACTATGTTATGATAATGCCATTCTAGTTGGCGCTAGAGCCTGTACAAATACGCTATTTCTGGGGTTATTCCATTCCCCCTTTTTCTCATGACCAAAAGGCCTTGACCATAACCAATTAGAAATACAAAAACCGAAAACGCCGTCATTATTGGGTTTGCATAAGTGACACCACACCCGTCCTAGGATCATTAGACATCTCAGCTGGGGACCTCCTGTACATTGGAAGGGGCATGAGGTATTGGCCTTCCATCTTCTTCAACAGAGAGGCTGCCATACCCAGTGTCGTTGCTAGCTGATCGTGCCCGGCGGAGAGGCGGTCTTTCGACAGGATAGTCAATCAGGTCTTGATCGGCGTCGCTTTCGGATGACTGAGATTCTCCCTTGCGACGACGGGTCCTGCGTTTCTTAGACATAGCCCTGTCAGGTGCGGTGTGCACAAAATCTTCAACATTGATGCCTGCATTTTGGCAGATTGCTGTGCACGAGTTGACAATCACCTCGACGAGAGTAGATGAAAAGCCGTAGAAAGCCGGGGTGTAGGCATTTCGGGCCCAATATATGAGCTCTGCTGATACCCGCCCGAGATTGGGAATGTCACGGGGGCAGAGGGAGAGCTTTTGATTCGGACGGGGTTTTTCTTCGGCTTCGTCGTCTGCGGAAGAGATAGCCGCCTCCGAGGCTGGAGCCGAAGGGGATGAATCGGATGACGCAATGTAATCCACGTCAGAGGCGAGGAGGTGTAGGAGATGATAGACAGACGAGAAACCGATGAGAGAAAGCTCGACTGGATCAATCGGAAGCTGATTGAACCAAGACACGGCCTTCTCCATGGTGAAGGAGTCAGGTAGTGAGGAGACACCACCTGTGGACCGTTCGGTGACAATGGTGGCAATCATAGCACAGCGCACGGCGATGGAGATTTCATCCCGCACGGAAACGGGCAGAGAGGAATCAAGGAAGTTGGATGAATGGCTGTGACTTCCCTTTCTCTTCTCTTTCGGTAGCGCGGCAAGAACCGCCCCAACATTTTCAATGCGGTTGTGCTCGAAGAAAACGGCTTTCATCACGAGTGCCCGAGTATGCGCGGCGGAAAGCACCGGCGCCACATCAAGGGACATCCGAATCTTCTCTTTGAATGCATCACGGCTTGCCTTGGACACCGGGCCCTTCCCGCTTGCTTCGAAATAGTTGAGAAGAGCGGTTTGGAGAAGATGACTGGACCACCAAGCTGCAAGTGCATCTTGGGAACATTGAATAGCTGGGTCCTCATCCACAACATCAAGCAGCACTTCGTCATCGCCAGTACCCTCCTGGGTTGGTCGATTCCAGGTCAGGTTCACAGCACGCTGGATAATGTTGTCAATCATGACATCCTCGCAATCCAGTTTGATCAGGGCAGCAAGATGAGGGGGAAGCTGATCAGGGTGACCCTCGGGCAGTGCGGAATTGATTTCTCGAGCCACACCCCACTGGAATCTGGCAAGAGCTCGCGCAATGTCGTTTGACACATGGAATGACCAGGAGCCCGCCTCTCCGACGTTCCACAAGAGAATGCGGACATGCAAGGCCTTTATTATCATTCTTGCGGGAGTACAAGGGAGTGTGCCGGCAGCGAAGATAGTGAGCACAAGGCGGCTCTTGCTGATCTCAGCATCTCCACCAGTGAGTTGAGCATCAATTGCGATATCCCAAGTCTTGACTCGTCCCTTCTCATCCTCCTCGGTGATTCCGGTGGCCCATGAGTAGACTTTCCATCCCATGAAGCATCGTAAGACGTATTCGAAGCATCTCGAAGTAACAACATACCACTCTCGGAAGAATCTATGACGTGGAACACCGACCCGTTGCATGCTAGTCAGCCAAGCCTGCCGACGGAAATCACTAGATGTAAGAGGCGCAGCCGGGCCCTCAGTAGCCAATTTGGATGGGCCGCGTCGGGTGATTGGCTGCGCATTGAACAAGTAGACAAAAACGATAAAGGCACTCCCAACGACCAGCGTTGCCAGAATGAGGAAATGCGAAAATGCACGTGCCTGCCACGAGTACCAGAACTGCTTCAGGTAGAATTCACAATGTGCCAGTGTGGGGGTTTGGAAACGGCCGAGAAGACTGATGGGGAGTGAAAACAGGCCCTTCGACTCGGACTCGGAATCGTCAGAGCCCATACCTTCAAGAACCATCAGACCGGCAAGAGCACCCAGCATATATTTGTTGGGCATCCTTGAACGTCGAGTGGAGGTATCTTCTCTCGCATACTGCGGTTGATGAGATGAGGATGATGACGAGGGGTACTTGATGTATGATTCAGCAAAGACACCTTGCTTTGCCGTTTCAGCTCGCATACGTTTCCACGCATCGGGAACTGGAAGGAGGCCTTCTGGGGGGTTCGGAGAGGTGGGTGAACTCTCGCTGGACACATCTTCCGCCTGAGAAAAGACACTAGGTGATGTACCGGAGTTCGAGTCCGTCGAGGCGTAGTTGCTGGGCGAGGACACAGAACCTGAGGATGTGGCGGCCTGATCTGCTACTTTATCAGCCTGGCGGAGTCGGTTCTTCAAGTCGGTGTTTTCGTCTTCCAAGCGTTGGTTACGAATTTCCAGATGTTTGATGTACTCCGTCGCTTTCGACAAAATGGATGCTTTGTTGAGCTTGTTGGCAGCATTTGCTCCCTCCGCTTCGTCGTCATCATCGGCTGAGCCTCCATTCGGATTCTTGGGCGACCGCAGGCTGGGAACACTGTCGCGAAGTTCGGCGATTTTATCGTTCAAATTGGCGCGATACCGCTTCTCAATAACGTTGTGAGCTCGCTTCTTGGCGGGCATTTTCTTGCCCGGCTGCACTGGTCCAGTCACTGTGGTGGCATCGTCATCGCTGCCCGTCTTTCGCTTCCGGCTTGTGCCAACACTGGAGATTGGAGACACCAGACCGTAAGGTTGCTGCTGGCTCGTACGATTTGGTCCAGGCAGGCGATGGGTGTACCCAAGGTTGTTCCCGGCATTGGGCTCGGATGGGATTTCCATCAAGCCGAGTGGAAGGTTAGGCGAGAAGTCCCCGTAGTTCAAATGACTTGGGGAGCTCATATCTGTCTGCGGGGAGATGGATGGTAGATCTATAGATGAGGCCATTGGCTTTTGATCTCCTTCCGAGAACATTGGTTCATCCCATCGCATCCACTGGGTCCAATCCTGGTTCACATTCTCTCCGACGGGATGTGTGAACAAATGACCATTTCCTCGTGTCTCATCCCCACCAGGGTTTCGTGAAGAAAATAGCTGAAAGTCATTCTCCATATTAGGACCGGACATCTTGGACGGCTGGGTCCTCGGCCAATGTCTAAGTCCGAATGAGTATTGGGCAGTCTAGATAGTTGTCACTGATAAACATGTTAGTTTCAGTAATACAGAAAAGCCACAGCTCCTTTAAGAAAACAGAATCTAGCTGCCTGCACAGCCATAGGCAAGCAGAAAGCTAGGCCGAGACAGGCTAGCGGCGATCCCTGAGAGCATTAAGGAGGTAGATAGATGATACTGACTGGGTTCAACTTCAAGTGTAACGCTCGAACTCAAATGCACGAAGCTTAATAGACGTGAACGTACTCCGTGCTTTCTGCAAGGTGAGATGTAAAGACTGAGTTGCGAGGAGGGGGATGTGAGTGTAACAGTCACGGGCGGTGCTAGGCGATTGGAGGAGCAGAAAGCAGGGGTGGAAGATACCCACATACAGACGTAAAGTACTTAGGGCCCAAGGAAGCAAGTGGATTCCCAAATTCGTTGGCGTCAAGGTGATCTCCAAGAGAAGGTGGATCTCATGCGCCTTGAGAAATACGAGAAACAACGTAATGGGAAGAGACAGCCCTAGAGATACAAGCTATTGCTTCAAACTGTGATTAAACTGCCAGAGTCCCCATGCATGAAGATCAGGGGAGGTTGAATGGCCAGGCAGCCGGGGAAGGCAGTTTCGTCGTATGATCGCGGCTGACCGCACTTCCGGTCACCCCTGACGGTATCCCGGGCGTTAATTACGCTGAGTCATGATATTTTGTGCGTGTAACAATGTAATTTGTGTTTTGTGACAGTAACCAAAAGTCAATTATCATTGGTCATCAATATCCCCACTTTGCCTCCTCCTGCAGGTGCCCAAGAACGTTTCGAGCTTCAACTTCTTCTCTTCTTTAGATTTCTTTGTCTACTGCGTTGTATCTCCTTCCTAACCTTTTAGATTCACTTGCTGAAACAAAGCGAGCCGCATTTCTCGTTTTCCTCGCACTCGAATCGGCTGAACACGTCCGCGCGTGATGTCTTGGCGCCCCGCGGGTAGGCGACACGGGAAAAAATGGGCGTGTTATGATCTTATCTGATCGTGCTAGTCTCCACTCCTGCCTCGTCGGCAGCACCGGAACCAGAGCAACGGCGCAAGAGGCGAATGGAATCAACAATACTCGTACTCCGTACAATATAGGCTATGTGGATCTGAATCCGGTATCGCAGTCCATATTTATTCACTTCGACAGAAGCACATGGCTCTCGCGACCAATTTCTGGAAAGCTAAATGAAAATCTCTGTCTGATGCTTCGGACAATATGCATCCCGCGTCAAATTCCATTGAACCGCCGACTGATCTCATTATTACCACAATGAGCTGAAATATGTTAACTGGGTACCATCCGGGCAAGAGATTGTACTTGATCATCCCCTCACCGACTCCTTCAATACGTCACCGACCTCCTCGTATGGAGCACCCGGCTTGAGCCTCTCTAGCGCATTCCCCACTGTGTATTTTATCAATGCAGAGCACAGATTTGATACATAACTCACTGATACTATATCTAAGTTAGCACGTGGCCATTTGTTACAACCAATAACAAAACGGGTTGCATGGAGCCTAGATCGGTTGTGCGGGCCCGATTATGAGCTGCCAAGCTGAGATGAGACTTGAGTTCACAAGGGTCGCCTTTCATGGAGTTGAGAGCTCGTTGGTGGGACCCCGTTTGTATTGGGTGGAAGTTATAGCCGTTCCTTCAGAAAAACCTGGCTGGATTGTTAGAGTTACATTTTCAACAATTTGGCCGACATCGGCGATGAGATCGCCATAGGGATCCTCGATGTCACTTTTGTGAACAAAGCCACAACTGCTTCACGTCGAAAACTTTCATGGAGTTCCGGGGATCAAATTCCATGGCTAAGAGTCCTTTGAAGACATTATAGCTAAGGCCAGGCTCTTTCGCGGTCTTTGGGGGTAGTTGAACTGTTTTCTTTATGAAACAAGGTGAGCGATTTGTCTCAAGTTTTCATATATTCTACCTAGATGCGCAAGTAATGTCGGGGCTCTTGGTATTTGTTCTTCACTCAGAATCTCGTACCGTTCTTCTCGACTGCCTAGTCCCCATGAAGCCTATCATTTTTGATTCAGACTTCTGGCCGACTCTTGAGAGCTCTTTAGCGAACGAGCCGGGTCCTCTCTGTAGTATGCAGGATATTTGGGGATGGTTGGGCTCAGGAAATTGAATTGAGTGGTAGAAAAGATGCCTCTGAGATTTCAAAGGATGAAAGAGAAGGTGTAACGTATAGAGTGATGGGATACTATAGATTTGATCGGTATTACTACCATGAACAAAATATGCTAAAGAGCACTCCATTTGTGGGGCATTATACCCTTCTCCACCTTAATGGATCGACGTCTGTGCTGCCGAGAAAGGATGAAAAAACACGTTTGATAGGTTGGCATTCAGGTGAAGAGAGGGGAGAAAATAAGAAAATCGCAAAGTGGAGGGGGAAGGCAGAGAAACTTTGTCTTCTCGAAACCTGCCGGTACCGATGAGTTTTGCATAGCATTCAAAATAGGACTGCAAGATAATCTTCCTTCAGGTTCCCAGCTGGATTGGTGTCTCATCAATTCAGTTGCACGTGTTCCAAGGCCCAGAGAGTTCTCAACGGGGTCAATAACATGGGGAGGGGACTGAGAATAGGGACCAATCTGAATACTTCACGAGAAAGAAAGTGGTAGACAGGCTGAGGACTTTATGGCATCACTGGTGTACAAACATACGCGACGACAAAACATCAACAACAGTATCCTCTTCTCCAACCTCGTGCCACTGGCTCAAGGATTGATGAAAAGAAAATATTCTCCACGAATGGAGGTGCCAAATAATACGTCTGCCGATAACACAAGTGCCATTGAACAAACTGTTCCGCCGCGTGGTGCGATGCAGGGACCAGCCTGTGGTGAACTGTCATATTGATCACAGTCACCCAAACATGGTACGATGAAGAAGAAAGAAAAAAAAAATGAGAATACGCGGGGAGGGGCTCGCTATATACCATTTACCAGAGGACTGCGCCACAATAGAATGTTTGTTCCTTTTGTATCACACGCCTCGATTATCCTTAGGGATTCCTAAGCCACAGAGTACTGCCGTGCATTTGTGAAAATTCTAAAGCAGGTTAGTTGAGCGGTACGGCCCGCCCCGTCGATGTGAAAACCTTATATCTCCGTGTTACAGTAGAAGTCACCAACGAATTTGGAAATTGAGGCTAGATAGGCGCAGAAGAGCAGAGAATGATATGTCTCCTAATTGTATTGAACAAAGTATGACTTATGCCGTTGCCGATTGACGACGTGAGACGGCGAGGACTATACATCATCATCATCTTCCCCAGAGCTTTGCTTACACACTTGAGATACAAAGCCTGTGAATTATGATGGAAATATACCATGGTCTATCCAACACAACTGAGATCTGGTATCCTACTCGTGACCCCACCGGCTCATCGAAGGACAGCAGCTGATAGGGCCAGTGGAACTTGTTACTCCCATGCTTTTTTACCAAGCGCAAAGCCCCTAGAGAGACCAGCTTCGACACATGTTCAGGGCTCTCGATTAAGTGTGCAAGATCTCTACGAACCCTGCCTGTGCTGCTCACATCCCTATTTCTCCACCTCAGGGGAATCCATGGAGTCTCGGAACCATGAAATCCATCTACCGTCATATTCTCTACTTCGAACCAGCGATCCTTCCTATTGTACCAGACCACCGACACTGCAATCGTTACGCGACGAGTAACTACTGAGACAATGCTCGCCTGAAAGGAAAAGCCTTCCGTCGTTGCTTGGCTCTAATCGAGCGATGCACAAATGATGTCGAAATTGCACTATGTATACAGTGAAGGGATTTCTGTTTCATGTCACATTTGAGAAGGAGAATATGGCAGTCATAGTCTCATTTGTCAGTTGCTCGTGATGAGAGGATCAGCCTGGTGGCTGATCACCCAGAACGGATATAATGCGCCTTGGCCGAATACATCGTGCGGGGGGATATAAAGAGATAGACTCCATATCGGTGTCTGGCCGATGATCAGGCCACCAAGGTCCTACCGGATTTCAGTCCGTTCAAATATAGGAAGGAATGTCTTAAAATGAGTACCTTGCGATTTGCTACTGTTACTTGTCTCAATCACTTCAAGTCAAACACTCTTTCATAATTTATTTCTTAAAATATAGATTCATGCTTTATGATCTTGCGACAGAGCACTCTATGATAATGTGCATACATGCACATATCACACTAACCAAATTACTAACTAAAAGAGCAATACCGAGACTGAAATGAGCTCAACCTTCAATCTCGACTAGGCAGCACGATGCAAATTTAGTGCTGCAGGGATGGTCAGTAACGAGTCTACAATGTGCTAGAGACAATCAACTTACCGAGATATCTTCCCATTTCTCCCAGCCACGCCCACGAACCTGAGCCAGTTCTTCATCCGTTAGCTGCTTGCCGGTAGTGAAGTATCCTGATTGGATCTTGGCATCGATCTCGACTCTTGAATCACTAGGGATCATCTCATCGGGGATAGGGATGCGCTCGATAATATTGATGCCGGAGTTCACGATGGCGTCGTACTTCATGTTGGACATTGACAGCATGCGATCGATCTTAGTGATGCCGAGCCAGTGCAGAATGTCGGGCATAAGAGCTTGGAATCGCATCTGCAGGGGATGAGGTCAGTATATGCGAGTCACATGGAATGATGAGGATACTTACGTCGCGGACACCTGCAATATTCTCTGTCCGAGTGAAATACTTATCGGCGGTGTCGCCACCACGCTTGCGCGCATTGTACACAAGATACTTAATAACTTCTCCGAGGGCTCGACCTTCCTTGCGGAAGTAGATTACCACACCACTGCCGCCGTTCTGTGCCTCTCGGATTGCTTCGCGAATACCGAACGCTAAGTATGGTCGGCAGGTACAGATATCTGACTGGAAGACATCACTACCATTACATTCATCGTGGACGCGCAGAGCCAGTTTGACATTAGGGTCCGCGATCCGCTCTGGTGGGCCGAAGATGTACACGGTAAGGCCTCCGATTGGTGGCAGGAATGTTTTCAGATCAGGCCGAGTGATAAGCTCAGGGTAGCTGCCACCGGTATGTTCGAACAAAGTCCGACGAAGAGTGCCTTCATCGACGCCAAATCGCTCTGCCACACCGGGAAGATACCAGACAGGCTCGGCTGCTACTTTAGTGACACGCACCTCGCCGGACGAATCAACCAAGACAGACCCGTCCACCTCGAGCAGGCCATTCTTGACGTCATCGGCAATCTCCGCGAGTTTCATGTTCGCCCGAGTGACTGCCATCGTTGGACGGATATCCCAGCCAGCCTCCAGCTCTTCCTTGAACTGGTTGACAATGTCATGGCCGTAAGGATCCATA